TATTAACTATTAAGAGTACAATACAACCTCCTAATGATAACAGTATTTTTTTAAACATAAAAAACTTACAATGCACTGTTCCAAATTATTACGCACAGTAAGTTTCAAAACACTTTATAGGTTGTAAAGAACTGAAAATCGTCATTTGTTGTGTTTGCAGCATATTTACTGAAATCAAAAACTATTTCAATCAAACTTATAACAACATTTTAACTTTTTAAACATTTTTCCAGGTCAGGTTACATTTTAACATAGGACCCCTTATTTGATAGCAGCTTCACAAGTCTTGCATCCATTGAACTTGTGAGTTTTTGGACAGTTTCTGCTTGAATTTGTTTGCAAAATGTCAAAATAGCCTCCCATAGCTGCTGTTTGGATGTACACTGCCTCCCACCCTCATAGATCTTTTGCTTGAGGATGCTCCAAAGCTTCTCAATAGGATTGAGGTCAGGGGAGGATGGAGGCCACACCATGACTTTCTCTCCTTTTATCCCCATAGCAGTCATTGATGCAGAGGTATTCTTTGCAGCATGAGATGGTGCATTGTCATGCATGAAGATGATTTTATTACGGAAAATCGGAGGTCATCTTTACACCTTCAGGGACCCTAAAGGGACCGACCAGCTCTCTTCCCATGATTCCGGCCCAAAACATGACTCCACCACCGCCTTGCTGACGTCACAGCCTTGTTGGAACAGGGTGGCCGTCCACCAACCATCCACTACTCCATCCAACTGGACCATCCAGAGTTGCACGACTCTCATCAGTGAACAGGACTATTTAAAAATAAGTCTTCATGTATTTTTCTGCCCAATGCAGCCGTTTCTGCTTGTGAGCATTGGTTAGTGGTGGCCGAATAGAAGGTTTATGCACAGTTGCAAGACTCTGGAGGACTCTACACCTTGATGTCCGTGGGACTCCAGAGGCACCAGCAGCTTCAAATATCTGTTTGCTGCTATGTAATGGTATTTTAGCAGCTGCTCTCTTGATCCGATGCATGGATCTGGCAGAAATCTTTCTCAATGTGCCTTTATCTGCACAAACCCGTCTGTGCTCTGAATCACCCAAAAATCTCTTAATAGTGCGATTATCACGCTTAAGTTTTCGTGAAATATCTAATGTTTCCATACCTCCTCCAAGGCATTGAACTATTCCACTCTTTTCGGCAGCAGAGAAATACTTTTTCTTCCCCATATTGCATGAAAATGGTGCTCTGCTTAATAACGTGGAACACCCTCCTTTAGTAGTTTTTCCTTAAATTGGGCTCACCTGGCAATCTAATTATCACAGGTGTCCGAGATTGTTTTCAGTGATCAAAATAGCCCTGAGACACTATGCCATCCATGAGTTAAATTGAAAAACAAAATATTTAATCTTTGTGACACTTAAATAGAATTTGCATAATAATTTGGAACAGGGTGTAATAGGTATAGGATTTCAGCCTATAAATTGGTATGTTTGTCTTGTACGTTTAGTAGCCATTACAAAAAACTAAATTGCCACACAAAAGTAGACATCACAGGCTATTTACCTAAGGTTATTTTGACACTTTTTATGTAGCTATTTCATCGCTAATCTCTGCTAAATATTGGAGTAAATTTTAGTTTTTTTCTCTATTTTGGCATATACACATATACCAAGATTTTTTTAAATGTGTGTTTCGCAAACCTGGTGTGTGCTATTCCTGTACAGTCTTTAACTCGGGGCAAACGGGTAGCTGCCCCGGGCCCAGTTGCTCCTGTGGGGCCCCAGAGCTGCTGCCCCGTGGACCCCGCCATTTGAGCAGCCCCCATGGACCAGGAGGTGAGGCTGCACAGAGTCGCACCGGGCCGCACACTAAGGAGGCCCCCCGGGTGGCCCATGCACTAAGAGCCACCCGGTGGGCATGTGTCAGCAGGGCCTGGTCAGGCGCTGTGGTGCTTAAACAGCGCGACCGGGCCCCTTCATGTTCGGCAGCCTGCTTGGAGGAAGAGAGTGCCCCACGTCACTTCCTCACACCGGAGATCAGAGCCGCGCGGGAGGAGGAAGGCAGAAAGGAGGGGAGTTCCAGAAGATAACTCCCAACTGCCTCAGCCTGCCACTGGACTCCAGGGAAACCACCCTCCAGAAAAAGGTAAGAACCTGGAGGGTGGCAAAATGTAGCATATGTGTCAGCATGTCTGTGTGTGTGTGTTAGTATGTCTGTATGTGCATGTGTAAGCATGACCTTGTGTGTCAGTATGTCTGTGAGTGTGTGTCAGTATGTCTGTCTGTGTGTGTTAATATGTCTGTCTGTGTGTGTGTGTGTGTGTCAGACATACTGACAAACAGACATACTGGCACATACAGACAGACACAGACATACTGACACACACACTGACAGACATATTGACACACACACACACACACAGACATACTGTATGTGTCAATATGTCTGTCTGTCAGTGTGTTAGTATTTCTGTATATGTGTGCCAGTATGTATAATATTTCATATGTTGCTCAGCTATGTCATCTGAATACAACAATACCCCTGTTTGTACCTTTGCCAGCTATATGTGGATGTTGAAGGGGCACATTTGAAACGCAACCATTCAGTTTTTTTTCTAACTTTGACGTTTTACGCTGTGTCCATGTTTCATTTTGGAGTAGTTTAGCTGGTTGGTTATTCAAACTTCCCCATAAACACATACTATTTATTAAAGAATACATTCCGGGGTAATTCAAAAGGCATATTTTGAACCTTAGCGTGGGATCATTTTTTCGCTAGTTTGTTCCAGGTGTAGTGGTAATGAGCATTTTTTTTTTATTTTTTTAAATTCTCTATTTTGATAACTCAGCATGTTAATAAGGTAATACGTTACAATCTGTGGGCTATCGCCCTTAGAAATCACATATGACAATACATATATAGCTGGTAGCTGGTTCTCGGTCCCATGCTGAGTGGGTTTTAATGTTTTTTTGAAAACATGTTGGACAACATTATCACACAATAAATTGACAATCCTCTGAGCACAAAAGTAAAGTAAAGATAAAATAAGAGCATCATGAGGTTCGAGTGATTAAGTGCGCCAGGGGAAGGGGAACCCCGTCCGGGGATTTATCACACTGAGTTATCTCATGTTCTGGCATAAGGAGTAAAAGGAGGGAGGGATGTATCGGAGCTCATGCCACAACAAACCTCTCTAATCTGGAGCCTCTTTATATGTGGGCACGTTCACTATGGCTGCGTGATAACCAATGAGTTGTAAATACTATGGAGCATCAGTCCCCTCCGGCATGCCTGGGTGCGCAAGTTAATAAGGGTTATGGTCTTGGGGACAGCATGCCAGCAAAAGAACCGTTAAGCGTAAAGGAAAAATAGCAACAGTAAAACAAATGTAACTTGGTGAATATAGTCATGGGTTTTAGTGGCGAAGTCTGTGGCATCCTAAAGGATGGAGAAATGGCCTTTCAGTGTGTGGTGCTCAGGTTGTGTCACCCGCTTGCGTAGTGCGTCTGGATGACCAGGGTGTAAATTCTTTTGTCGCAGTGGGGTCCAGCCTGGACAAGATGGTCGTGGGCTCTGGTCATGTGACCGTCAGACCCAGTTGGCTCAGATGAGTGTCCAGCTCTTGTGGGCTTCTCGCCCGGAAGGTAGTCCCTTGGAATGTGAAGGTGATGAGCCGTTGTGTTCCCCAGCGGTACTGAATGTTGTTGGATCTCAGGTGTTGTAGGCTTGGTTGCAGTGATTTGCGCCAGCTTAGGGTGCTTCTCGTTAGGTTGGGAAACAGCAGTAGTTGAGAGTCCTCGAATGTTAGAGGGGTTTTCCCTCAGGTCGCTGTTAGGACCGTGGTCTTGTCTTGGTGGGATTGAAGTCTTACAATTATATCAGCCGTAGCGGTAAGGGGTGCGTTGGTTGGTTTGGGCAGGCGGAACAGTCCATCTATCTTAACAAGTTTTGCCTGTTTGAGTTGTAGTAGTGTTGCTATTAGACGTTTCATGTAGTGTGGGAGGTCTGCTAGCCCTATATCATCAGGCACCCCTCTGACCTTTAGATTGAGTCTCCTTCTGTGGTCCTCCAAGGCCTCCACCCTCTCTGCTGTGCCCAGTTGTTGTTTGTGGAGGTTGGACATTCTTTGTTCCAGGGTGTTTAGACGTTTGTCTTGGGAGGTAGCTTTGGCTTCTAAGTGAGTAAGCCTTGTGGTGGCCCCCTCCATGGCCTCTTTGAAGTTAGCTCGGTCGACCGTCAAGTCTTGTCTGAGCAACATAAACATTTTCGTCAGCAGAGCTGCTGTGACCGGTTCTCCTGCCTGGGAAGCTTTGGTCCTGTGCCCTGTGGGCTGGCTGAGCGATGCGCCTGCTTCTGGGACTGGGTAAAAATCTTCTGATGAGTCGGAGTACCCATCTTCTCCAAGCTCCATTTTCTCCCACGCAGCCTTCTGTGAGTTCCGCAGGAGTTCGCCGATATCAGTGTTTTGTCCGGCCTCGGTTTTTTACTTTTCTTGCCCATTATCTTTGCCTCGACCAGTAGGTCAGGTTTGGTGAAGGTGGGTGCCCGATTTCCGCTGTTAAGTCGGGTTTTTTGCTCGTTTTGGCTCAGAGCGTTTCACAATGCGTCCATGCTGGTCTGCAGCTAGCTCCGCCCCCGGTAATGAGCATTTTTAATGTATTTTCTTAACTTTTTAAAAAAATGTGTTTACTTTTTGAAACTTGTTTTTAAATGTTTCTGTTTACTTATTAATTTTTTTTGAAATTTTTTAAAAACTTTCTTAAAACTTTTTTTACACTTTTAAAATTTTATAAATTTTTTTTTCCCGTTTTCCCCTAACTAGCAGCACTAACATAAAATTCCCCAATTTCCCATAAGAGTGCAAACCCAAGATTAAGGGATAAGCCCTCAAAAACATCCAGCCAAATCTAAGGCTGTTGGGAGGTATGTGACCCTCTGTGACCATATCATTAAAATTCAAATGATGCACTTATATGTATATATTTTTTTATACATCCCACTGTGAAGGTGCGAATTTATATCAATTCTCCGCATGAAGCTTTTACAGAATCCAGTATTTCCACAGAATGTTTTGTTTGTTTTGTTTTTCTTAGTTAGCCATTCGGAACTAAGAATACTGGCCTCGGTGACTGTCCGGAAGTCTTTTATGGTTGCACATAGACCTTTGGAACGCATCCAGCAGCTCTGTTAGGCTGGGGAAAGAGTAGTGCTGGTGTCAGGATGGCAGCGACAGCAGGATTGTCTCGGTCTCTGGTCCGCACTGTGAACGAACTGTTGAAGAAGAGAAGATATCGAACTGCTCTTGCTGTGATCAAGGGTTTCCGCAATGGAGCTGTGTGAGAGAGAGATACCCTTACTATAATCTAGAGGGGACAGGGGGGCTGTAAGAGGGAGGGAATCTAAGGTGTATGATAAAGGGCTGTAGGTGACTTTGATGAACTGCTATAGGAAATTTTATATATATATATATATATAGTCTTTCGGGGTGAGGAAGCAATTCTGAAATTTAAAATGAAGGGTATGTGCAGGTTAAAGGACCATGCTAGGCACCCATACCACTTCAGCTTAATGAAGTGGTCTGGGTGCCAGGTCCCTCTAGGATTAACCCCCCCTTTTTTTTTTTATAAACATAGCAGTTTCAGAGAAACTGCTATGTTTATAAATGGGTTAATACAGCCTCTAAAGCCTCTAGCGGCTGTCTCATTGACAGCCGCTAGAGGCATTTGCGTGCTTCTCACTGTGAAAATCACAGCGAGAAGACGCCAGCGTCCATAGGAAAGCATTATGAATGCTTTCCTATGAGACTGGCTGCGCGCGCAGCTCCTGCCGCACATGCGCATTCAGCCGAGGAGGAGGAGAGCTCCCCGCCCAGCACTGGAAAAAAGGTAAGATTTAACCCTTTCCTCGCCATCCAGCCCGGCGGGAGTGGGACCCTGAGGGTGGGGGCACCCTCATGGCACTATAGTGCTAGGAAAAGGAGTGTTTTCCTGGCACTATAGTGGTCCGTTAACTATATTTCACCTATTTCCAGGAGCCTATATAGTTGTTATAAATAATAACTATTCTCACTTTGCAGGATCCTTGATATACTATTTTATTCTAATATCTGGTCTATAATAAGATTACATAAACATGAGTGGTTAGCATAGTTCTAAAAAACAACAAAACAGTAGGTAATGTGTAGAAGTGGTCAATGCCTGTATCCTGTTCCATTACATATTTTGAAAGGGACACCAAAAGTGCCATAAGTGCCTATATATCTTACACATGTTGTGCTGAAAATATTACTATCTTCCAATTTTGTCCAATCTTCTGCTTATTTAAAGATGCAGCTATATAAGCGCACTTCCATGTTCGTTGAGAACTTATTGCTCTTGTTCATCATTTGCTGTTATGTGTTTATCCACCGGTTTTGTACCTTAAGTACTTTAGAACCGTGCGTTCACTCTTTGAATTAATTTATAAATTAAATTTAAAAATGCATAGATTTATTAATTGGAGTACCCGAGTAGCTGAGAGTATGCTGCCTTCACTTTATTTGTGAGGGGTAAACTTGCATCTGAAGTGTCCAATTTAATGACTTGTTTGAGATTGCTGGATTATAGGAATGAATTACCGGTATATTGACTGATGGGAGGTTAAATGGAACTTGTTACTATTGGCACACCTGTCACCTGTATCACCATTTACTGGACAGCCTGTTTCTGGCATATGTTGTGCAGTATACTCAGAATGATGGTAGTTATCCAGAACAATGTCAGTAACCAACTATTAAACCTGTCACTATGATTTTCTTTACTATTTTAATTTTAGGAGATCTGGCACATCCTAGAATTTTTTATATTTTTTTTTCCCTGCCCTCTATATTTACCAAATACATTTCTTTTTTTTTTTTAGAGATGTGAACATTAAAGTTACATTGAGAAATCCATGCTTCTATCTTGGAATTAGTCACCTCAATCTTGGCAATGTTACTAGAGAGGGGAAAAAAGCACATTCGCAATTGAAAGGATTTTTTTATTTCTTAAACAAAAAAGTTTTGTTTCAGAAAATTCACTTTTTTAATTTTTTTTTAAATATACACCAAGAGCACCACCGTTTAAATCAACAAAAAAGAGGCGCAGGGCAAAACTGTCAGGAAGACTACAAACAGGAGAAATGTGATGCAGATGTAGGAGAATACATGCACAAACAGAAAGTGTGGCGCAATTGTAGCGTCTAAACCGCTACGGTACTTTTTTTTTTATAAATCACCCCTAATGTTTCTGTTCTCTTTTGCATTGTGAGCTTGGGCTTGACTGGATTGTGATGTAATTTGGTAAATCTTATATACATATTAAATAAAAACAGATTATCTTATGAAAAAAAGCTCAATGATTTTCAATGCTTTAATATTTTAATTTCAAGAGAAATGACAGTTCTGTTTTAAGCTGTATGAAGATGCAGACCAAGTGCACACTTCAGGAATATTCGACTCATTATATACAAACTTTGCTTCCCATGAAAAAATTCACTCCTCCTATAATGAAGATTCTGGAGATATGTTATGGAGCCATTAGTGAATCCAAGTTCCATGAACTGTTGGCAGCCATTATCTGTAGTTTATTGGGGGTGTATGGCAGTTGTAGTTCTCTTACCACTGGTAATTCAGTTTCTTACTTCTGTTAGAGGGGACAACATAAGGAGGCATTTGAATATATGGAATGGCAAAGGTGAGAGTATAAGGATATGAAATATAGATGAGGGTAGCTACAGCAACAGTGTTCCGCAAGTGAGGAAATTCTGCAAAGCCACTATTGCCTCATTTAGTTGCCCTTTGACAGGTCTACATCTGCTTCTTGCAGTTGTTTTACAATAAAAATCAGTGGAGACTGTTGCTCAGTGTATTTTTACTGTGCTACTAATGCAGCAGAACTGTCCAATTGAGACTCTTATAAATTATAACTTTTGTATGGCTCTCAACTTGCCTGAAAAGTTTTTAGTTTCTTATGTATCACATAATTTATGTAGTCCTGATCTCAACACACTATTGTTTGGCTCTGGCACTGTCACCATCTGGGGACTTTGCATTATTTGCAAAGACCCCCAATGGTGACATCACCACTGGTGGTCTGGAGGCTGGGAGGGGGCAGAGAAATGCGAACTTGTCCCTTGTGGGCACTGCCATCTTTTTCTGGCTGGTCCTCTTTTGATGTATGAGCCGTACTCACTGCTGTTTTCTACTTCATTGAGGTCAATGGAGTATCCCATGAGGCTGCAGGATGCTCCATAGGCAGAGCCAATTAAGGCTGGGGCACTGACACTTCTTGATGGTGTTGGCTCTGGCCAGTGTCTTAGAAAGTCAGGCATAGGAGATATACTGAGGCAAAGTAGTCCCTACATAATCTCAGTTTATCTTTTGAATTGGTTTTAGTTTCAGTGAAATTCCAACAAAGCCAGTTTGAGTATTTCATAAAGATTTTATGACGATACTGCTTTAAGAAAATAGACTCCGTTATTTGGCCTTTTCCCATCAAAGGGTCAATCTAATCACATACCAACTGTGAATTATTGCAAAGATTATGGTGTGTAGAGTGTATCCTACCTGTTAGTTCTGAGAGTGGCTTACAACTGCAGTGACCTGTCTGTCAAGCTGTGCATCAAAACAATCACTATGTATAAGTTACAGATATCTATTTAACCATTGGCGAGTGTGTGTGTAATGTAATTGTATATTTTCTTTTCAAGGTATGGAGCAAAAATCCGAGCCCCACATGCTCTAGTGATGACATTCCTGTTCAAAAGTGGAAGGTACGTTGGGGTTTACGTTAAGACAGATAGTAATTAATTTGAAAGATGTGCCAACAATTTATAACATGGTATTAGGATCTGCTTAGTCTTAATTACTCCTATTTTTTTCACCTTTTCACAAATTACACTAAAATACAAAAATGGCAATTGTCCAATCCAGTGCTACTCTTAGAATTATTATTGTTGTTATTATTATTTATAAAGTGCCAACAAGTTCCGTAGCGCTGTACAATGGATGGACTAACAGACACGTATTTGTAACCAGACGAGTTGGACACACAGGAACAGAGGGATTGAGGGCCCTGCTCAATGAGCTTACAAGCTAGATGGAGTGGGGTAATGAAGGCTGCACGAGCATCCAAGCTTCCTCCATAGGGAACCAGTGTATTCAATGAGTTTCTGCATGACGTGATTTTAACTCGGTCAGTGCAATGGATGTGCTGCTAGTGGCTATCCACTGGAGGTCGATTTAACCATGCAATGATATAAAAAAAAAAACGGACAGGTCCACTGTATCCAGACCGCTTCGTTGAGATTAAGGTGATGGTCTGGGTGACTTGAGTGTCCATTTGAATGCTGAAGTTAAGTAACATTTGTTTTACATGGAACAACGTCTATAAAAACAAGACTTTGTCAGAGTTATTCACTAAAGTGAAATTTGTCAGGAATTCAAAGAGAATTTCACATTTAAAGGAGCACTGTAGTGCCAGGAAAACAAACTCGTTTTCCTGGCACTATAGGGTTATTAGGTCCCCCCTCCCTCGGGGTCACCCTCCCGCTGGGCTGAAGGGGTTAAAATCCTTTCAGCCACTTGCGCCAGGCTCTCTCGGCGCTGGTGACCTCTCCTCCCTCCGACGTCGGCTTTGAATGCGCATGCGCAGCACGTGCGCCCATTCAAACCGCCCATAGGAAAGCATTACTTAATGCTTTCCTATGGATGCCACCGTCATCTCAGTGTGATTTTCACGGAAGGGGCCTCTAGTGACTGTCAGGGAGACAGCCACTAGAGGCTGGATTAACCCTCAATGTAAACATTCAGCTGCAGGGTTAAAACTAGGGGGACCTAGCTGAAGTGGTCTGGATGCCTATAGTGGTCCTTTAAGATATACGTTCCATACCATAGCTGACATGGAGTAGTTTAGCTATCATGCCCTTGACTTTTAAATTTCAACCTAAATTCACTTAGATTCACTTAGAATTTGCAAACAATCCTCACTTCAGTGAATAAAACTGGGTGTATATATATTAAAGTTGAGAAACCCCATACAATAGTATGCCATCATCCCTTCAGATCCATTTCGCACAATAAAGGAATGTCACTGTAGATCCTCATTTATAATCCACTTTATAATCACAGCATTGTTTCTCTTCCCTTCTAGAGAGTTGGCTCTATTGATTCTAAATTCCCATTTTCTAATCCAGCATTCATCCTACAAATGCTGCTACAGAGCTGTAAAGGACAATTTATGCAAAATATTATATTCCTTCCTGTGTGAGTGCTACTGAATGAATGGCTTTGAGTGTTCTTTTTAACCCATTGTATGTGAGGGTACCAGAGTGTTCCTTTAACCTTAGAGTGTCCGATATATAAAGCGGAGGAACAATTACTTATTGGAAAATCATCTTGTGTCCAAACTTTGATTGAAACACGGTTTCAATGAGTTATAATATTTTTGAATCCTCGTATTAACTTTTTTTTTTTTTTCCATGTGTAGCTTGCAGGAGAAAATAAAAGCCATTCTTCAGGCAACATTCACACATTCCAGGAACCTGGCTTACTTTGTGTTCACCTATAAAGGGCTCTTGGCTACACAGGAGAAGCTTCATGGGAGCCGGTGGCAGTTCCATTCATTCCTGGCTGCAATGGTTGGTGGCTGGCTAGTGTTTGGTGATAACAATCACATCAACAGCCAGGTAATTTATGTATTTTTAAAATTTATTTTTCTACCCATATGTAGGCCTATATTATTATTATTTTTTTTTTTTTTTATATAGCGCCATCAGATTCTGTAGCGCTGTACAATGTAAGTCAGGTTATTATCTGCTTGATTTGCATATGATGACGCAGTGGGAGGAGTTCTCATTGAGCTTTACATATTCTTAAACAGGATTGTTACAATCACACACACACACGGCAGATGTGTTTTGCCAGTACTACGCTGATATAAAAGGATTACCTAACACCTGGTCATGAAGATGTTAAGGCAACATCACATACAACATAATCATCTTTCCGATTTCACCAGTTTTAACATATCAAATTGTCAGAAATCCATTGATTAGTTCAGTTTTCTTGCCTCTAAAGCTATGGTACATTCATAAACAAAATAGAACAGGAAGTCTTTGAGCTCTTCCTGACTTGATGCTACAGGATGTCCCAGGTGTGAAGACTGCTGCAAAGTATAGATCTGTCTCTAAAATACCCAGAAACAACATCACAAGATCCTGATAAAGACAGAAGGATTATTTTTAAGAGGTTAATGTGACATTATTTATTTTTTGTAATCCACAAGAATGTTTTAAAAGGGATGTATGTGGAAAATGCACACAAAGGTGTTTTGTTTTCATATTATAGCAGCCCTGCAGTGATTTTTTTTTTTTTTTTTTTTTAATGCCCCCGTACCTTATTTCTTCCTTGTGTCGGATCACAAAACCTGGGCGCAGCCATTTTATTCTCTGTCCGTCATATCTCCTGTTTTGCAATTCTCTGGGATTCTTTTTATTGACGGTTTGTGAGTACGTTTTACTGGCAATTGAAACAGAACTTGGCTAAGTCTTTAATATTCCTTATGTATTTTATGAGTACTTTGGAACATATATAGAAAGGAGCTATATAGAAAGTGATTTAAATCAAGTCTATTTTGTTGACAGAGCTGCTTTAAACTAGCAACATCCTATTCAGCCTCATTATAAATGTATTTTTGCTTGGGGTCTGGTGGATAAGTTATATATTTACTGATTTAGTTTTCTCAACAAACAGTGTTTGCAGTCAAAGTACAATGCAGACTGTTAGCTATTAAAGCTAAATTATTTTTTTAATGTGCATTTTGAGTTGTCCCCATTCTACAAAAAAATTAAATCTAAAATTGTAAAATCTGCAGGCAAAAAAAGAGCTACAGAACTTGGCCTCTCCTTTTGCTTAATTTCCAACAGTTAACAGACTGTCAAAGGCATTTGTGAATACTATAAAATATATATAAAATTAGGGACAGACCAATTATTAGAGCCAATATTTCTGATAATCTGTATCAGTCTTGTAATTTACTGATATTATCGATAACTCGCTCACCTCTCCCAGTCACTGCACACCGTCTTTCACATCAGGAATCTCCAGCTGCCAACCAATGAGGTACCTTCTTGCGACCTCAGGTCAACCCTCTCTGTGAGTCAGCAGAGCTCAGCTGAAGACAGAGAGGTGAGGTGGTGAATAATCTACTGTAATGTACTGGGTTGGCTGACTGAGAGTGATAGGAGTGTGATTGCAATCAGACAACTATCAATAATAGCCCTCTACATGTTTGGATCTCAGTTAATGCCAGATTTGTGTAGAAATAGTTTTTTTTCCAAAACTTTAAATGTGCACAATATTGACACCAGTAATTGTGTGTGTGGGTTTTTTTTTTTATATATATATATATATATATATGAGAAGGCGGAGCCGGTAGGCGAAGCCTGTAGTTGTGGGAGGAGTTACCCGGCCTATAAATACAGACCTCCCCTTCATCTGGTCTGAGACCACCTGGTTCAGCCCACCTGCCACTCCCTTTTTTAAAGCCATTCATCTTGGTGGGCACTCTTTTACAGGCCTCCCCGAACGTCAGTTCTGGCACACCACAACTGACTTACTCCACCATTACTATAACTCTGCTTATTGTATCCGACCATGAATATATATACTATAACTTCAGGAAGAAGGAACATGAGAAGTTGGACAAATACCGAGGACTGCAAGAGGAGTTAGAAAGGATATGGAAAGTGAAGGCGGTAGTTGTCCCAGTTGTGATAGGAGCACTCGGGGCTGTGACTCCTTTGTTGAGGGAGTGGCTTAAACAGATTCCATGTGGGACATCTGAGATCGCTGTCCAGAAGTGTGTGTGTATATATTTATGTATATACATATATGTGTATGTACTCCTACATGTTTGTATTAGGATCTAGTGATGTATAACAAAGTGCTTTGTAATAACATATTTCCTCTCTTCCTCCTGCAGATCAATATGTACTTATTGTCACGTGTCCTCTTTGGTCTGTCTCGACTGGCAGTAGAGAAAGGCTATATCCCTGAACCCAAACATGATGTGTTCCCTCTGTTCTCTGCCTTGGTTTGGGGTTTTGTGCTCTGGCTGTTTGAATATCACAGACACACCCTTCAACCATCTCTGCAGTCCTCCATGACATACTTGTACGATGACAGTAATATCTGGCATGACATCAGAGACTTCTTAATATCCAACAAGGCCAAACCAACCAAATAACCTCTTTAGGTTTTTACAGCAGAGGTAGCTAACATTTGTGGGTCATCTTCAATCAGATACTTGATGCTGTAAATCAACTACTCTTGGTGGAGCCACATGTTCCCTATCCCTGCATTCTATGTCCTATACCACTTCTTGCAAATAAATACATAAATTACTAGGTACCCTCCTACCTGGTAAAATGGCAAAGTGCTCAGGAGTAAAATATTTCCATAAACGCATGTATTTCATGAATGCTATGTTTTTAAGATTTGACGGCTTAGTGGGTAGAGTTGTTCGGATTCCATCTCTTATGTGATTCTTAACAGATTAGATCAACTGCTGGTATGAAAAGAAGATATGTGGCAACTCATTCATCCCTTTATAGGTTCTCTAAAGGATTCTTCTGGACTTTCCAAAAAAATAGGTTTTGTTTATCTGTATGCTGTTAATTCTCCAGATTTTAAAACCACACTTTTAACCCTGTTATTTTTTTATTTCTTCTTGAAACTTGGACCTCGATTGAATAAGCTTTCCGAATGATTCAATACCGTTTATCCACAAAACTTACCCACTAATGTTGTCTGCTGTAGATAAATTATTTGGAATGTTTTTCTAATCATATAGAATCATCTGAAAGCAAATTAACTCAAGACCTTAGTAGGTTAAAGAAATACCTGAAACTCATAGCTATGTAGTTACGTACATGATGCATTTCTTTAACATAATGTCTATTCAAAACATTCTGTGTGCACTGTAGTAAATTTAAGAAGAGTTTAGAATTCCAATTTTATTCTCTGATGTCTGATATTAAAATGGAATTAAGTTTCCATGCATTGATGTTTCCTACTAGATTCACCCGACTATTATGCACATTACGTATACAAAAAAGGATAGATACTTGAGACAGGATAAGACTCAACATGAGTGCTTACGTCAGTCCTGTTCCAATTTATCCTTTTCACAAATGAGAGACTCCAGGAGTCTCTCAGGGCATAACCCCAAGTAAATTACAAAACTACTGCACAAGTGTGTACAAAAGGTCACCTAAAGTGACACTTAGTACAGCCTGGAAATATAGGTAACAGTTGTAAATAGTCTATGTATCCAAATATAACAAATCACATAATGAGTACTAAAGGGACCAGAACAACTACAGCTTATTGAATTTGTTCTGGTGAGTCGAATCATTACCTTCAGGCTTTTTGCTGTAAACACTGTCTTTTCAGAGAAAATGCAGTGTTCACATTACAGCCTAGTGATAACTTCACTGGCTGTTAGAGATCCTTCCTGGGTCATGGCTGTCTAAAATGTATCCAAACATTGTGTCTCCACCCTCTGCATGCAGACACTGAACTTTCCTCATAGAGATTCATTGATTCAATTAATCTCTATGAGTAGATGCTGCTTGGTCAGGGCTGTGTTTGAATCATGCTGACTCTGCTCCTGATCTGCCTCTTTGTCAGTCTCAGCCAATCCTATGGGGAAGCACTGTGATTGGATCAGGCTACCACTTCTGATGATGTCAGCAGACTGCTTGTTTTTGGTTTGTTTTTTTGAGGCAAACAACATACAGAGTTACAGCTTCTGGCTTGAATACAGTAAGATTTTGCTATATTTGTGGAGGCATGAGGGGCCCAGGGGGGCTAGATGGTGGTGTTAACAATATAGGGTCAGGAATACATGTTTGTGTTCCTGACCATATAGTGATCCTTAATGAGTGATCCTGCAATAAAGTAATATAAAAGTATCTATAAAGACAACCTCAGAAGGTTAACTCCTATGTCTGAGTGAGGTATATCTATCAAGGGTGCTTTCTTGGTATATTTTATTTGTTGGGCCATGGGCAGACAAAGGAGTTAACCTTCCGAGGTTGTCTTTATAGATACTTTGTATTACTTTATTGCAGGATCACTCATTAGTACTTATTATAGGATTTTGTTATATTTGGATACAAAGACTATATACAATGGTTACCTATATTTCCAGGCTGTACATAAGTGTCACTTTAGGTGACCTTTTGTACACACTTGTGCAGTATTTTTATTATCCAAATTGGTCTACCCCAAGTGGATTGTACACATTCTGGTAAATTAACCTCTTGGTCACATGCCACCATGTTCTTTCTTATCAAATCTGCAACAGTTATTGGAATGGCTTCCAACGGTAGCCATAATTAATAGAAACATCCTAGTTTGTTGTATTTTGAAAGACCGATATAATAACAATTATAAACCTTAATATATAGAGGACTCTAACCATGAAATACAGCTCGAGTATAACCAATTCGATTGACAAAATATTTGTTACCTGCACTCAGCAAATGATACTCTTTATCAGCTTTGAAAGAAATAATATAATCTAACATGTTAGGAATAAAAACGGCCATCCTGTGCTTTGATCTGCTGGTACTACAGCAGGTGCTTTAACCAACTAAACTATCTTTCCAAATAAAATAAGGTTGCTTTATTATTTCTTCAGTGCTGGTAATGTAATATGACACAACTTACAATTTCTAGTCCTATGCTACTAGCCAGGCCATAGCATACCCTCCAGGGTGAATTTCTACTTGCCAGGGCTACATGTACACATGCCAGGGGCTAGTGGCAAGTTGAAATTGTGAACCCTGTGAATGGGACTTTGAGAAGGAGAACCTGTATTCCAGGCTTTTTACAGTTAAATGAGTGTTCTGCCCACTAGATTTTAGCCTATGCAAATGTTGGATAACATTGTTACTAGATGTTTGTGAATTTTTATTCTTATGATGCTTCTTCAACACAATTTGATGGGTACCACAGGACACCATGTCTGATCTACAATAACTATACCTTCACATGGTCATGTTTAGAAATAAGTTACTAATTTTGACGGATCTGCATGTGTTTGTTGCATGACTGTTAGGAAAACAGAAAATGTGGGATACATGGGGGGGAAGGAAAATGTGTGAACTATGCAATGAACCAATAGTGCAATCCAGTTAAATACTAATGAGAAATAGATATAGATAACAGCCTACCTTTTACATAAAAAAATACACTGGGCAAATAAAAAAAAAATTAAATATGTGAAACCACTTACAAATACTATACTTGAAATTCAGGCTTTGAGTATAAAGTGGTTTGTATTATTTAAGTAGTATTTGTAATCAATGGATTTGTAAATGGGCCAGGAGGACAGCATGCAAATTGCTCAATCCAGAAACCTTTTCTTTGTTTTATTTTATGGCCCTTTATTGCATATCAGGAACTGCTGAAAAAGGATTAACCTTGAACCAGTACTGGTTCCAGGAATGGTTGTTGAGAAGACCATTTTAAGCCCTAAGTTAAAGGATCACAAAGGATCACAAAGATGTATTCCTAACCCTATAGTGCTAAACCCACCTTTTAGGTGGCTTGCCACCCCTTACCCCCCCTTTAAAAGTTTAAAACTCACCTTATTTCTAGCACTGCGTGAGTCTGTCTGCACTGGTTCTCCCTCCATTGTGACATCAAAATGGCCAATTTTTAGCCAATCCAAGGCTTTCCCCTAGGTAAAGGATTGGATTGGCTAAAATCGGCACGAGGACGGGCCCAAATGCTGTTTTGGCCAATCAGGACCTCCTCATAGAGATGCATCTCTATGAGGAAACTTCAGCGTATCCATGCAGAACAGCAGGGCTGCTTACTGCGCATCTCCGTCTAAGGAGTGGCCACTTGGAGGTGTCTCTAGGGGCAGTGTTTACATGAAAATGCCTGAAGGGAGCTATTATACTCACCAGAACAGCCACATTAAGCTGTAGTTGTTCTGGTGACTATAGTGTCCCTTTAAGTAAAAGGGATGCCTCAGAGCAAGTCAAGATGGCCTTTAGACAAAGTATTGTAACTTTGTTTAAATAGTGAATCTCCATGAGGTTTTCTCACAGTTAGAATTTTTGGTTTTGTAGCACTGGACAAATATCTACTGGTAACCATGAATGTACCCTTACATTATAGCACTGATTCGTTTGTTAGGTGTGAATCTCCATAAATGTATATGGTATGATAATTTGCACACATATTAATGCAATATTTTATACACTGATATCGGTGGTGTGTTTACATTGTAAGGCTTAAAATTTGAAATCCAACACTACTAGGCAGCCTTTAAAAGTAAGGGGGTTGAATTTCTACTCACCAGGGCTTCATTTCTGTTCGTCATTTGCTAGCCATACTTCGCGAGTGTCCCTATTTTGAGCCCAAATCCCTCTGTCCCTCTTTGCTCGGAGCTCCATATTGTTGGTGTGTCTGAGTGAGTATAACATAGCTCCACAGCAATGACACTCACAGTAATGTGTCTTTAAACTACAATAAATATGTTTAGAAACCAGTCTGTGTAAATAAGATACACTTTTCTTGTTCTAAATTACATTTTAGTTGCATAAATTATTAGTAAGTCACCTAATTTTTTTTTTTCAGAACAGAGCTGGCCACACCCTGGCTCACAGCTCTTAACATATAGTGTCCCTCTTTGGCCATTTGAAATATTGGAAGAGGTGACTGGAAATTTGAACCCTGTTGTACATTATATATACTTTTTTTTAAATATATTTACACACAACAGACACAGAAGATGGTATTTATATGCATTACAAATTATACTTGACTTCAATAACTGGGTAGAAGGACATATCATTTAGGTCATTTTTTGTGTTAATCATCTGGATTTGTACCTATTCCTAAATTGCTGGGAGGGGGGGAGGGTTAACTGGTAAGCTTTTTGTAATCCGCACTGTGTCATAATTTGTACAGTTTTCTTAATTCACACAAATTGTACATTTGTTAACATTTTTTTTTTTTAAATAAATTTAAACATTACTTATTACCTCTGTTGGTTTCTTTGCCTTTAGATACTTGTTAAAATGGTACATGTTTTGTTGTATTTATGTTTGTGACCATTATAAAATAAATGATTGATAAAACAATTGATGAGATACACACATATATATCCCTCTCATCAATTTGTTTTGCCAATCATTTATTTTATAATTATATATAATGTTGTGTATATATTCCAAGCACTATAAAACCCACATCTTGTTGTGATTACTGAGGTGTTATCCCACATTAAGTAGTCACATTGTTTTAGTACGGTTTGACAACTTACCTGGGTCCCCTAGGTGCCCCTGCTACATTCAGTCTCCTGCAGCAGAAGCCAGATGTTTCTGATGGAGCTCAGCTGAAGGTCTTGGTCAGTGACACTGTTAAGCTAGTCTGATTTTTCCTGCAGAAGAAACCACAAGCATGGGCTGTGCTAAATGGGTTTGATTACTTACAATGTGACTGCACCAAGGCACTCCTAGCACCATAACCACTACAGTGGGACTGTACTGGTTATGGTGCTCGGATTTTTCCTTTAAGATTTAATGACTTTCAAAGAAGAAAATAGTGCTTTAGAAATTAATATACATATAAATGTTATAATTGCTTTCTAATGGGACTATCCCACAACATAATATTTTAACGTATTCTTGGGTTAGATTTTTGTCCTTCTGACACGTGATGACTATATAGCTGTTATAAAACAATATCTAAACATTGTTCAGAGATGCTGGTTATACATTATCTAAGTCATATATATATTTTGTTGGTTTTTTTCCTCCACATCACAGCTGTGTAAAGTACATACTAGTGTAGATTCAGCTTAATTCTGTGCAATTACTATCTACATCAGCTGTACGCATACGCTGTAAAACAGAGCCATATCATGCATTTACAGGAACATCGCTCTGTGAATCATAGATAAGTAGAGCACACAAGCAAACTTTGAGCAACCTACAGACTAAATACCACTGGGAGAGGTTCAGGGTCATGGTATCATGGTAGTTTAACCTGTTTAAAAGGTCTTTAAATGAGAGATAGAAACTTGTTTAATATGATTGACTTTCATTTGCATGCAACGAATTCCAGAACATTTATTGGTACAATTATACAGTATAAAACTATAGGTTCTATTTATTTATTTCTTGGTCTGCTTTCTTTAAGTTGGCACCATATTTATTTTTAAGCACTTCATAATGATTGGTTTATTATGCAAATATCAATATAAAAATGTATTTCGCTTTAAGGGATGATAAAAAAAAAAAAAAATTAATACTTTGAAAATAAGATATACATGCAGTCATGGGAAAAAGTAAACCCTGATTTAATTCTATGATTTTACATATTTGGACATACTAACAATCATATGTTCCTTAGCATGTCTTAAATCTAGGTAACTACAACTTCAGATAAACCTTTATTTGACAAAAATAAACCAAAAAGTGTGAAGATGTGTGAAAAACTAAGTACACCCTTACTGCTTATAAAGGAATTAAGAGGCTAAGTTGCAGAATGGTGCTGGTAATCAAATGCCCTTGATTAAGTGATCATCAGCAAGTGTGACCACCTCTATAAAAGCCGATGTTTTAGCAGTTTGCTGGTCTGGAGCAATTAAGATTTGTGTTAACACGTTGCCAAGGAGGAAATACATCAGCAATAATCTTAGAGAAGCAATTGTTGCTGCCCATCAATCTGGTAAGTGTTATAAGGCCATTTCCAATTAATTGAAAGTCCATCAGTAAGAAAGATTATTCAAAAGTGGAAAACATTCAAGACAGTTGCCAATCTTCCTAAGAGTTAAGGTTCCAGCAGTTGTACCCAAAAGATCAGATTGTGCAATCCTCAGAGAATTTGCACACAAAAAAAAAAAGTTACATCTCCGACTCTACAGACCTTCGTTAGCATGTTAAATCTTAAAATTATTGACAGTATAATTAAACTGAACAAGTATGGTTTGTTTGGAGGGGTTGCTAGGAGAAAGACCTTTTTCTCTGCATCTGAACAAACCCCAAGACTTCTACAACAGTGTTCTTTGGACAGATTAGACCAAAGTGGAGATGTTTGGCCATAATACGCAGTGCCACATTTAGTGAAAACCAAACACGGCCTATGAGCACAAGCATCTCATACCAACTGTCAAGCATGGTGGAGGGGTGATGATTTGGTCTTGTTTTGCTGCCACGGGTCCTGGAAACCTTTCAGTCATTGAGTTAACCATGAACTCTGTATACCAAAGTGTTCTGGAGTCAAATGTGAGGCCATCTGTCCACCAGCTAAAGCTTGGCCGAAATTGGGTCATACAACAGGACTGATCTCAAGCAAACCAACAAATCTACAACAGAAAGGCTGAAAAGGAAAATAATATGTTGCAATGGCCCAGTCATCAACTGGATTGAAATGCTGTGGCATGACCTTAAGAGAGCTCTACATAAACAAATGTCAGCAAACCTCAATGAACCAAAGCAACGTTGTAAAGAAGAGTGGCCTACAATTCCTCCACAATGATGTGGAAGACTGATAGCCATACAGAAAATTAATACTTCAGGTTATTGCTGCTAAAGGTGGTTCTACAAGCCATTTAATCATAAGGGGTAGCTTCTCTATTTTGGTTAAATTGTGACATAGTGTGATATGTCATATTGTTCATCTGAAGTTGTACTTAGCTAATTTTAAGACCTGCTAAGGAACTAACGATTGCTATTGTGTCCTGATATGTAAAACCATAGAATTCAAAGAGGGTGTACTTTCTATTTACCATGCCTGTATATAAAAAAAAAGTCTGAAAATATATTAATAGACAAAGTGGTTTAAAAAAAAAATCACAAAGGAATAATTAATAAGGATGTATTACACAAATTTATCACATCACATTGGGAGTCGATAAAACTGTATTAATTTATATAAATGTATATCATTATATGGGCAAAGCATGTTCATAGCAGTGATAGTTAATAATTGGAGGTTTTTGTTTCTTTATTTACAAATTTTCATTTTTTTTTATAGATTTTTTTTACTATATATATATATATATATATATATATATATATATATATATATATACACCAGACAGCCACTAGAGGGACTTCCGAGTCTATTTTTGGTCGCCTAACTGGCGCTGGACGTCCTCACATAATGCTTGAGAGCAGGCCCGGACTGACCATCGGGCACACCGGGCAAATGCCCGGGGGGCCGCGGTGGCCATGGGCTGAGGCCGGCAGGGGAGGTCACAGGATCTCCCGTGCCGGTCTATGCAGGACCGGCGCCATCCGAGCGCCGGCCCCGCTGTTTGCCATGGAGGGCCGGTGGGGAGATCAAAGATCTCCTTCACCGGCCCACATGCAGGATATTGCGGCCGCCGGCGGGGAGAGAGGGAGGGAGACAGCCGCCAGGAGAGGAGGACCCGGTGGAGCTCTAGCTTGCAGCTCCGCCGGGTTCCTCTCGCGAGATCCGGCGCGTTGCCATGGCAACGACCGGATCTCGAGAGAGTGAACTCTAGCCTCACAGGCTAGAGTTCACTCACCCACGAGGACCACCAGGGAACACTGCCTTCCAGGTGCCAGCATGCCGGTCCCCCCCTCCCAGGCTAAAGGTATGAAGGGAGGGGGGGATTTAATGCCTGTTTTTTTTTTGCCCCCCCAACACACACACAATCCTTTCTAACATTTATACAGCACTCTCACACCCATCACACACAGCACTCTCACTCACATCACACACAGCACTCTCAAACCCTAACACACAGCACTCTCACTCACAGCACTCACAGCACACACAGCACTCTCACACCATCACACACAGCACTCTCACTGACATCACACACAGCACTCTCACACCCATCACACATAGCACTCTCACACACAGCACTCTCACACCCATCACACACAGCACTCTCACACACAGCACTCTCACACCCATCACACACAGCACTCTCACACACAGCACTCTCACACCCATCACACACAGCACTCTCACACACAGCACTGTCACTCACATCACACACAGCACTCTCACACCCATCACACACAGCACTCTCATACACATCACTCTCACACACATCACACACAGCACTCACTCACAGCACTCTCACTCACAGCACTCACACCCATCACACACAGCACTCTCACACACAGCACTAACTCACACAGCACTCTCTCATAGCACTCTCACACACACATCACTCTCTCACACAGCACTCTCTCACACAGCACTCTCTCACACAGCACTCTCACACAGACAGCACTCTCACACCCATCTCACACAGCACTCTCTCACCCATCATTCTCACACCCATCACTCTCACACCCATCACACGCGGCACTCTTGCACACACGGCACTGTCGCACACACCGCACTCTCACACACACATACTGCACCCCTCACATACACACAGAACCCCCCAAAACACTGCACCACACACATACACAATACTTCCAAAAATAAATAAAAAAATATATACACACACACTACACTCTTAACATACACACTCTGGATCACCTATACACACACTAGATTCCTTGTAAGCAAACACATACTACACCCCTAAACACACACATCATCACCTATATATATACACACACACACTATAGCCTGTATGCACACACTTGCTATATCCCCAATACACACATTCTCTACAGCCCATAGCCACATATGCATCACATTACACCACTTTACACCACAAACACAACATGACTAAAACCAACCTTATTACACAATACCACACCACAATCAGCTCACTCTACACACACGCAATACCACAAGCAGGCTCCAAACACATGCACAATACTCCTTCCTGGCATTTTTGTCTCCTGGTATCCATTTATGGAGACACCAGAGACAAGTTGCAAGGAAACACAGTGCAAGCATGTTTTTAAATTTGCTTGCACTTTGCAGAACAAATACAGAGCTTTTTTCTCATGCTAGAGCTCTTCAGCAGAGCTCTGCGCATGGTCTGCCCTGGGAGAGCATTGAACCAACATGCTCACTTTGAGAGGGGGCGTGTTTGTCATTAGTGATGACAAAATACACCTCCTCTGCCCCGCCCCCTTCTTAGTGGGCCGCTGTGTTAAAAAAATGCCCGGGCCAAATTTTTCTCCCAGTCCGGCCCTGCATGAGAGCTTCCAGCATCACAAGAATTCTCATAGGAAAGCATGGGGGAATCCTAATGCGAGCGTGGCCATTGCCAGTCAGCCGGTGGGGATGGAGCGGAAGGGCGGACCTGAGCCAGCGCCGAGGGACATCGACGCTGGAAACATTTAAGTGACAGGGTTTTTAGCCCCTTCTGCACCATGGGGGTGGGGTGGTTGGGCGCTATAGATCCAGGAAAACAACTTTGTTTTCCTGGCACCATTGTTTCCCTTTAGCAAGTGTGCAGGGACTTACTATATTAAGCTGTAGTTGTTCTGGTGACTATAGTGTCCCTTTAATGTGTAAAGAGCTGAACTATAAACATTCTCTAAGCCATGTATGTTTAGCTATTTTGGTCTAAAAAGTGAAATTAACTTTCCTGACAATTTTCACTGTAGTACATAACATAACATTGCTAAAAACATGGAGGATTATGAGCGGTTTTGTGGCCTAGTTCTAGCATTTTGGAATACAGCTGGGATGTTTCATTGGTTGCCATGGTAATTGCTCCAGTTTTAGAACTTTGCTCCAGAAGTACTCTCAAACAATCACTGTATATATGTACTGAACAAAACAAGGTTAAAAGCCAAAGGTGAAATTTTCATTCAAGCATTTAAATGGACGGAAATGGGAAATGTTACATTTATAAATATCTTCTCTGCTCATGCTGTGAGGTGGTATAGGTGATGGCAAGGTCAGCGACCTCAAGGAAAATATGCCTGATTGATTACCACACCTTTCATTTACATGACTGATCACAAATGTAACATTTCTGTTTGACTGTGTAGTCACAGTAATATTACCATAGGCAACAGCATGTTTGGGGCCCTGTTTTGAATATTTTCAAAGACTTCAATATCTAGTGATAACATCCATGGAAAATATCTGCTGGTGCTGTGGGAAGGTCTCTGGTGTCAAATAGTTATCTTTATAGTTTATTGCCTGCATATGATATCACATCCTTGCTAATCTGGGTAGAGACTAAAGCGTTGGGAGAGTGCAGTGCCATAGAGCAGTATTTCTTAACCTTTTACGGAAAAGTACCCCTGTAGATTTAAAAAAAAAAAATTCCTTAGTACCCCTCGCCCGAGAAATAAATTTCTATTGATTCAAATTCCAAATACAACGTGTAGACACTGATATTTAAGTTAATCCCATATTGGAGAACAAGCCTGCTTAACCCCTTAAGGACCAAACTGCTGGAATAAAAGGGAATCATGACATGTCACACATGTCATGTGTCCTTAAGGGGTTAAAGGTAGCAAAGAATATTTTTAAAATAAATATGACATAATGTGAATATCGTGTATGCAAGGAGGAGTGTATAAACTATTAATCTAAAGTAGAAAAATCACAAAATGAAAATATAATACATAATAGTTACACACAGAGGACACACACACACACACACTCACTCACTCAGACTGACAGACACATACACTTTGTATCTCACACACTCACAAACCTTTGGGAGAGCTGGAGTGGATTCTTTTTCTAGGGTCCAGTGTGAGGCTTGTGAAATTTTTGTGTTGCTACAGCACTGCTCCCTTGCACGCTATTTAGTGATGCCAGGGCTGGAGTGACATCCTAACATGGCACCCGCCATCACCGCAGTGCGCGTGAGGGAGCACTGCTGGACGTTCATGAAGAGTACAGCTCCATTTGCCCCCAGCTGAAAGCCTCCTGAGTGGCGCTAAGGTGGCAACCTCTTGGTGTACATCCTACTTTTGGTGTTCATACGCCTTTGGGTACATGTACCATCGGTTGAGAAACTAGACCATAGAGGACAGGTTTGGTCCAGTCTACACCATCAAAGTCTTCCACTTAAAAGACCACTAAAGGCATCCGGACCACTTCTTCTCAATGAAATAATCTGGGTACAGTGACCCTGTAGAACATTGCCAAAACTAAAATGTTTGTTTTACATTGTAGGGTTAATATCGCCTGCCATTCAGTGTCTGAGAGTGTTAACTGACCACTCTCAGCCAATGAATACAACTCTATACATAGGTACCTGCAGAGAATGAACATTATGACGTCCAAGGGACACTGACGGTGGTGTTGTTACACCTCCGGCAGCAAAGGGGTTAAAATCAGTATGTGCAGCATTTCTTATCAAAACACTGCTACATTAGTTACAGCGTGGCTATTTCAGCGCTAAAACTGCGAGTTTAGTAAATAACCCTGTATATGTAATTTTCACTACAGAGGATTAAATTCTCTAAACTGCAAAGTTTTTCAAGAATTTCAAAATTTAGATCTAACTAAACAACTAAACAAACATTCTCCACTTTTACTCCTTTTTTTTTTTTTAAAGCTTGGATATATATATATTTTTTTTTTAAAGCTTGGATATATATTTTTTTTTTTTTTTACAGAAAATATACAAATAACACCGACCTTTTTTAATTTAATTTAATTTTGTTAAATTTTTGTACTTTTTATTTTGTCTAGAAAAACAAAACTGATTTTTAATTTATTTATTTTAGTGTTTTGTGTACACTTTTTTTTTTTTTGTCAAACAAAAACTGTAAAATCAGATTATTTTTTTTCTCTGGTTTATGAACAAAGCCCCATAATTAAACACAGAGGGAGCTGTGGGTGGTGACTCTAGATGTCCCCATCATTACATGAGACACATCTGTCAATGCCCATTCATCCCCCCCTGCACTCTCTAGGAAATTGGCATTTTTTTTTTCCCTGTCAGGCAGCAGGTAACGCCCTCCACCCACGCTCCATCCAATCACCGTCCTTGTTTTGCTTTACTCTGGCTGGCCATTGGTTTCCCTTCCAGTCTGTCACCCCAGGCCGTGCCAGCTTCCTCGCACCGGGAATCCCGGGGAGCCAATCACACTCGAGCCAAGCCACCCTCCAGCCAATGGCGTGCCTGCGGTGACATCAGCAGCACTTTCGCGGCAAAAAAGGAATTGGCGCGTAAATGGGCCAGTGGTGGGAGACCCGGAGATCAGCTGGGACTGCAAAACAATAGCTCGGCCGGGACTGCTTACCGGGAGCCGGAGACCACCTCACAGACCGGGAACCGGCCACCACACTGCCCAGGCTGCCAGGACTCCGGGGAACCGGCCATAGTGACCCCAGTCTCATTGTAAAGGGAGGGATCTGGCCTTAAAGTGCTGCAGCTCTAATAATTCCCATAGACTGGGTACAGACTGATCTGTAACTCACCCCAGGACAAATAATAATATATTTTAATTATTTTTTTATGTTCTTTGACTTATGTATGGGGAGGTGGGACTTGCAGAAAGTTTAAGGAAGTGTAATAGTGCATTAATTTAATATATTTATAATAATAATGGGTGATAGACCTATTTAAAAGCACTTTCATTTATTTAATTTAAATGCTATTGTGTGCATTGCTTTACTCAAGACTTGCTTCCTGCACTTAAATGTCATTTGTTTTTTTTTATAGACCCTATCTTTAAATCTAGAATCCCCCTCCTCAATATATGCATGCTTGAAGAAAATTGCATATAAATATAATTATTTTGTAATTTATTGGTTTAAATGCTACATGCATGGCTAATTCCATGCTTGGAATTCTAATGTATAACTTATTTGTGTAGGTAAAATATACATGATCTTGGTTTTTTTTTCACAGCACAAAAAAAATATCCCCTAAATTTTACCAGCAATTATCTCTTGCATTGTTTTGTTTTTGGGATACCTAGAATGAAGACTGATTTAGTTTAGAAGTATATCATTTGTGATTTAGCAGCTTTCTGCACACAAAGATCAGTGATTTTTAATTGCACTTTTAGCATTCTTACTTTTTGTTTTGAAGGATATTGGCAGATACCTTTTTTATCTTCTGAGAATTTGAAGTTCTCAGACCGTTTCAAACTTTCACTAAAAACCAGTGGATTGTGTTAATTCTGAGTGCAACTAATTAAAAGCTTGTTGATTGATACACCTGTTGTTGGAGAATCACAAATCTGTCTGCAGCAACCGCCTACAAGATCTATTGTTTGGATACTACAATAGCCTTGGATGTTCCTGGCCAGTATGGGAGCTGTAAAGACTGCGGGGCAGAAAGAATAACCCCCCACTGACCATGTCCCAGGAGTTTGGGTTATCCTACGGCTGCATTGATGGAGATTTTGGAACACTTTGGGAAACGAGCACCATTCATGTTGCTGAGCAGCAGATTGTCATCATATCCACGCCAGATGTCCCTGCAGAGGGTCCTGGAGGTTCTGGACTCAGTGAGGCTGAGCTGATGCTTTTTACAACACCACAAGGGCCCAGTACCACAACTGCTGGACAGAAACCAGCTCTAGGACGTCCACCGGTAATATGGCACTGCATTGATGGTTTTTGTATAATTATACTTGTAAATCAGTCACAAAATTTTTAAAGGGGGGATTACTGGATGGCTTTGTTACTTTTTTTTTATTTATTTTTTTTTATTCCTATGCATTTGTTAGACTTTATCTCTAAGGCGAATATCTAATCTTAACAAACTGACTTTAAGGAAATGAATGAAAACGGCTTGACTAAGTGAACAGAAGTTAATATGAGCTACTCCAATTCATTTCTATAAAGTGAATGTGTTAGTTTGTAGCTGTTAAATACAAGTTTGAGCAAACCCCATTTATGTTCATCAAGGAAGAATGCATGGGATGATTGACAATGTACAGATGACCAGATTCTCATCAGGGTCCCACACAAAAGAGGCTGTGCGAATTTGCGTTTATTTTTCACCTTGTTAGATCCATCCTTTTGTGTGCAGCATCCCCCCTCCCCAAACACTGTAAGGTACTTGCTCGTGTCCCTGCAGTCAAACTAGTGAAAATGTGAAATGCCTATAATTCTTTAAATTGTAAAGCAAAATATGATTAGTGTTTTCCACCATTTTATCCGTAACGTTAACTGTTGTTTTTTTAGGATGATTATCGCCAATTATGGACCTTTTTAATTCCACAAAATTTAGAGAACTACACATTGATTACCCAGGTCAGCAGGCTAATTGATCTAAACCTGCAGCCCCTTTGAGAATTTTAACACACTACGTAAATATCTAGTTAATAGTTCCCTATATTCATTAATGGGGTGTCAGAGGAAATGCCCTCCAGATATTATTGGAATGCCTGTACATTACTGAAGTCTCCATTGTAGGTTGTTTTTCAGCTGTTATCTACCCACTTCCACAATTTCCTGCAAAGTGGCTCCAGATACAAAGCAGTATTTATTTAGGTTTTTGTTTTTTACTTTTTGAAGCAGTGTATAATGTGCAGTTGGTTGGTCTGTTTATTTTATTTAGACTAAGTTTCCATTAGTCTTTCATCAATGATCTACTGCAACCTTACACATACTTTCACAACTAAGCTCAGATTATTATTATTATTATTATTATTATTATTATTATTATTATTGACAGGTTCCGCAGCACTTTACAATGGGTAGCATTGAGCCTATAAGGTAGTGCCCTGCACATTTGATACCGTGAGTGCCTACCCATTTCCTGGTTGGACCTCCCCAATCTGCGATTGATGGTTTGGAATACTGCTAAAACCTGACAATAGCACAAATAAAGACTTTGTTTGCTGATACCAGGACAACAAATGACCAGAAAGAGAATGTTTTAGTGCCAGTTCCATTGTATTTGTTGCCATGACTTCTGGCTCTAGGTTTTCAAGCCCTGCAATAAACCTTTAATCAGAAGTTTATGGGATGTGTAATGCGCTCCCACTAAGAACAATTGGGCAGTGATATCTTGGTCCTTGGAGAAACTACAGAAGGGGCCGTAAGTGTGTGTGTGTGTGTGTGTGTGTGTGGGGGGGGGGGTTGTTTATTTTTGTTTATATTACTATTCTTAGGCATTTTGATCTGCAAACTGTTCTAAATAAAGTTAGAAAAGCACAGCGGTGGGCTAGGTAACAAGGCTTGTCTTTGACAGAAAATGGATTCTTCTCTTGAAATGCTGTGGGGTGGGGGTGTTTTTTGTGTGGCTTAGCAGATCTTTAACCCCTCTAGCTCTGAAACAGTGTTTGGATTTTGTTGTTGACTAATTGCTGCTTTTTATTTACTGGATGGAGTGTTTCTGGCATGTATGTTATGTGGTTATGCCTCCCTACCCCTTGCTGGGACTGGTTTGTAGGCTGTTAGCAGGTGGGGGAACCAGTGGAATGAGATGCAGGAATGCTACCACCTACGCTCCCACCTTAAGAAACCAGTATAAAGAAGGGTGGGGTCCTCTACCAAAAAGCAGCTGATACACCAAGGGAGTGGTTTAAAGGGACATGCCAGGGTGCTCCCATAGCTATCTGATTATGTGTGCGGCAGAAATGGTTAACCTTTGACACAGCAAATGTAAATAAATTTGTCAAGTGACAATGAAGAAATGTAAATGCACTGTGAAAAATAACAGCAATAACTGAAGCCTTCATTTAAAATTTTTATTTATATATATATATTCATTTTTTTTTTTTTTTTTTAACCCGGACAGTGTAATTGTATTTAAAAATGATGCTGCGTAGCTTGAGCAGTAATTCAGAAGTAAGTTGTTGCCCTGCTGTAAGTACACAGCAATATATGGTGTACTGAGTGATATGCAATTAAAGGGACTCTAGGCACCCAGACCACTTCATTTTAATTGGATGCTGTGTTGTTCGCTCCTTAAATGCAGCCCTTTTCCTTGCTGTCTGTCTTCATTCTACAACCATGAATCTCTGCAGTATTCTCTTTCCCAAATGTTGCCAGATTATCACCTAGCTCTCTTGAAGTGATCTCTACCAAGGTACCAAAAAACAGCTGCCAACTGCATGAAGTTGGAGGATGCACACAATTGAGGAACATAGAATGTTTACACTAAGTCTGGATTAGCCAATGAAAAGGCCAGGAATACACACTTTTCTCGTGTATGCAAATTTCTTGGCTCTTGTCAACAAGTACTCCTGGTTAAGCTCTAGGAGCGTTTTGGTTGTTTTGAGTGTCCTACAGGGAAAGAGACGGCACATGGTCTTTTGGACTTACCAGGAAACTACTGGTAAGGGGGAAAAGCAGTTTCTAATCTTACAATAAAGAATGTATACATAACGGCTGCTTTAAGATTATACTCGCACTAATAAGTAATATAAGTTGCCTAGTGGGATCTAGAGTCTATAATAAAGAACATGAAATTTGTGCTGAGCAAGTCCCCTGGATGCCTGCAGTCCACCCACTTTAGCACCAGGGATGGGCGGTAGCGAGTAGCTGAGAGCGTTAGCTGACCACTCCTTGACTCGTAGCCACTCAATGCTGTGAATTGGTATGGCTAAAGTGGTATGTATTCTCCTACTTAGCTATACCTTCAGCAAGAGTTTGGGTGCAGAGAATCTTTTTCAGTGTTAAACACTCCAAGAGCTATAACTCCTATATAGTGCTGTTGTGGTACCAGGATTGCCCCAGTGTAAGTAGCCAAATCCATTTGTGGTCCTCCGGACACTGGCCACCTCCTGCACTTAGAATTAGTTTATTGGTTGAGAGCAGCAGCTGGTCGTTCTCAGCCAATGAGTTAAGCCCTCGACCAGCAGGCTTATCTCAGTGCTGTGGGCTCGGCTTTCATAGAGGCAGTTGTTGAAGCCCAGTTTGACACCTGTTGGCAAAAATTTATCTACCTTATAGGGCCACTAATGAGTTAATATGGTTAAAGTGTCTAAAGTCTCCGTAAAATGTGTTCATTAGCAGATATGCCCTTCTGTTCTTTTAGTTTAATATGCAGCTTCATTACAATGTAGTAAAGCAAAATTTCATCATGCTAAGATTTATATGAAATAAACAGTGCATTAGTATATTTTCTATACTTAAAAAAAAAAAAAAAAAATTATTATTTTTTTTTTTAATCATGAGTTTCGTTATTTGTATTTTTTAAAATATTGCACAGGTCAAGCGAAAATTGGACTTAGAAGCAGGACACCGTTACATTCCAGAGGCTTTGCAGAGTCCTCGTGGGAAGACCAGGAATCCTAGTGGAAGAGGTTTGGCACATTATTTGACAGCTTGAGTCCTGGAAAATTGTTTCTTGAAAAAAAATTAATACATTTGCATGCATTAAAGCTATCAATTGTGTAACAATTGTTCTAATGGAAATATAGCAATACTTGCACTCCTACACCTTGAGTAGGGTTTTATGTTTAATAGGACACCAAAATATAGATGTGATATTGCTCATTTTAATATGTATGGCAGCTTATGTTCCAAATTGGCTACATTCAAATACACCTTTTTATATTAAAGCCTATTGTTGTGCTTCAAAGGACTCCACTCCAGTTCAACAAGCAATTTTACTGACTGCATACCACCCCCCACTATGAATTGACTTTTACATTTTCCATCTTTATTTTTGAAGTGTGCATTATTGGGGGAGAAGTTGTCATGTTCCAACATTACACACTTTGCTATTTTGTTTTTGTTTTCATAATTCAGGTAAAGGGACACTATAGTCACCAAAACAACTTTAGCTTCATGAAGCAGTTTTGGTGTATAGAACATGCCCCTGAAGTTTCACTGCTCAATTATCTGCCACTTAATCACTGTTTCTGTTTAGGCAGCCCTAGCCATATCCTCCTGGCTGTAACTGACACACCATGCATTAAAACAAAATAGTTTTATTTTCAATCGGATGTAACTTACTTTAAAAGTTTTATCTCCTGTCCTGTAAATTGAACTTTATTACATACTGGAGACTCCTGCAGGGTCTAACAAGCTATTAACAAAGCAGGAGATAACGCATACCAAATTAAACAGAAACTGCAATAATGGTAGTGTAAACATTAGATAACTCTTTACAGGAAGTGTTTAGGAAGGCTGTGTAAGTCACATGCAGGGGGGTGTAACTAGGACTGCATAAATAAATGAAATGATTTAACTCCTAATAGTAGAGAATTGAGCAGTGAGACTGCAGGGGCATGAACTATACACCAAAACTACTTTTGTTAAGCTAAAGTTGTTTTGGTGACTATAGTGTCCCTTTAAGATACAGGGAAGAAGGGTGACTCATATGTCAACTGAAATATAATTTTTCAACATTTAGGCCAAAAATCTCCAAAGTTTCTATTGTCAGAGCCGGTATTACTGCCAGGCAAACTAAGAAGACGTCTAGGGTGCAATGTCTAGGCTTTGAGTGTCTGGCAGGAGGAGAGTGCATAGCACGGCGCTCCCCCACCTGCCAGTCACTTCTTTTAGCATGGTCGCACGGATCAAGGGTAGAGGATCTTCTTCAGCATCCTCTACCCGTTCTGACAGGAAGTACTCGCTGGGAGCAACGAACAGTTTTCTTGGGACAATAACAGACTCAGAGGGACTGGGGAAGGGGACAATGATACTCCGAGGAATTGGGGAATCGATACAGATACTCTTACGGATTGTGTGTATCCATTGACCGTAGTAATAAGGAACTGCCTGCCACACAATGTCAGAGTGCAGCCCATGTAGTCACTTCTTCACATGTTGGGATTGTTTGGTGGAGCATCAGGGTAATTTGGCCTGAACTGTCTTTAGTTTAAAATATAATTCCTTGCCCTAGAGACTCCTGAATTGTGTAATTGGTAAATCAGAATGTGAATGGCAAAACTTTCTCATTTATATATAGCTGTAAAGTCTCCTGGAGAAAGGTCCCGTTACGAGACCTCTTTGAACCTCACCACAAAGAGATTTCTGGAGCTGCTGAGCCAGTCTCCAGATGGAGTGGTGGATCTCAACTGGGCAGCTCAGGTGCTGAATGTGCAAAAGAGGAGAATATATGACATCACCAATGTATTGGAGGGGATCCACTTGATCACCAAGAAATCAAAGAACCATATCCAATGGCTGTGAGTACAAAAATTATCCTTCTACTCTTGCGTTAACTTCACCTAACTGTTCATTCATTTTAAACTCTGCCGTGGTAGATGTGTGCCTTAGATAACCCCACTCCCATCATGTTGTAGTCAAACAGCACCTTATAGCCCAAACATTGTGTGCTTGCGCATGCTAATTCTGAGATATATTTGATCCATCTCCTATTCCTATTAAGAAATCTGGCTCGGCTTGCTTGTTTCATGTTCAGGATAGTATTAGTCACACCTAATGAATTCTTAAAGTCCTCCCTCAACCTTCACAAATTCCTCCTTTAAGGGGAATCCAGGTGTCACTTCCTGAGTAGTGTTTTGACACATCGGTTCTGTTGAAAATGATTAATCTTGCATTCCAAAGATTTGTCATTTTACAACTTTCTCATTCCTTCTACCTAGGTGTGCATATTTCCTGCCCACCTTGTAGTGGGGGAAACCTGGGGAACAAAACTCCTTAACCTCCCTCCCAATGCTATTTAAAAAAACAAAACACCAAAGCCTAAATATATTTATCTCTATATATCCTGACCATAGAAATGGCCAGTCTTTTTTTTGCTGTATATATGATTGGTGCATTTCTGTTTCAGGGGTAGCAGGACTGTGGTGGAATCGAGCAGTAGGTACCAGGCGCTGGTTAATGAATGCCAGGACCTTGTCAATAAGGAACAGCGTTTAGATGACCTACTTCACATGTGCACCACTCAGCTGAAACTGCTCACTGAGGAATCGGAGAGTCAAAAATATCCTTTACGTAAAGTGACCTACCCCAGTTTTTATTAACAATACACCTATTTCTGGTCGGTGATTTCCTGTATTGAAGGTGTGAAAATAAGTGGCATCCACTTTACTGTAGACTTTGTAAACCCAAAAGTGCCCACAATAGTGTATGTCAATATACTATTTTATTTATTGCTCACTAGGTAACTGCTGTTTACAGGATCGATGCACCAGGTAACGATGTATCATGTGACAATATAACAGCAGAGCTCAGCAAAGTAAACCTCTCTGCAACCCACACACTGCTTGTACTTTTCTGTTTCTTTGCTCCAGCAGATTACAAGGGATGCCATGCATAATGGGCGAAAAACTTTTTAACCTATCATGTACCATGTTTTGACATCACAATAATGGTCTTTAAATACCATACACCTGTATGGCGTAACTAGCATTTCAGGTCAATGTAACCATCCAACCCTTAGTAGAGGGGTCACTCTGTCAACCTATTATGATGGCACCGACCGGAGCAGAGCTAAATCCTTTAAGGATGCAAGACAAAGTTAATCAATCTTCTGCTTCAGTTAATCATACGTTTTCTCTATTCCACTGTTCTGTTTCTATGCTGCATGGATTGCTTTTGTCAGCATCAATGCTGTATGTGACTTGCTCTCTCTAAAATTGTAAATAATTTCAGCAAACTTCTATCCATTAGAAAATGTATCTGTATCTTGGTGTTTCACCACGTTAGAGCAATGTTTCAACCTCCTTCAGACATTAACACTAACCCACACCCTTTTTTTTTATACCAAAAAGCATAGGTGCAAAATCTCTGCAGTTAACACAAACACTAACGGGACCTCTTCCAGTAACCCGACTGGTTACCTCCTGTTAGTTTTCTTCCTTCAGCTGATCGGGAATGCTTACATGGTTAGGGGACTTAGCTCTATGCGCTCCTAGGCAAAGACAACACAGACCTTGAAGCTCTTGGTCCTTACCAGGACTTTTCCCTGTTGCGTCCCCTGCAAGCTGGAACAGCAGACACAGGGGCACTTGGCTGACAATCTTTATTTACCAAACAGTACACAGGGATACACGTTAAACCATATTACATTTAAGGGAATTACACTTTGGGGCTTGGCACACTTTGAAGGGAAGGGGTTTCAGGGTTGTAACCTACATTGCTAGATTGCCCTGGGTCCCACCTTGGATCCCTGCAAAAAGCGGGGCGATCGGATGTACAGAGCCAAGGTATCGGCATCGAAAGTCTGGGGCTTGAGGCTCTGTACATTAAATTCCATGGCGTTGCTGGGTTTAGTCCGAATTCAAACCTAACGCCTAAACCAAGCAACAAACAATCGGCTGAAAGGGTGCGAACCAAATTGCGCCAATCAGCGCTCTGGGGAGGAAGGAATTTTGCGGCCCAATCAGAAAAAAGGGCGCGAAACCCTGTTTGAACAAGCGCTCCTCCGATTGGTCGTCTGCGCCCCGCAGCGACAAATCAGCGCTCACTTGTGCCGACCAACCAGGAGAATGGAGCGAACCCAGTTTGAATGGGTGCTCCCTCTCCTATTGGTCGGCACAGACTTCCATGCGGCCAACGGAACTCTGGACGTGAGACTGACTCACAGCTCCAAAGATTCCCTGCTAGCGCGCGTCCCTCCCTACAGTGGATATCCCCGGAGAGGGTCCTCCCCTGGGCAACCACAAGCCTAGCTTCGTAGCTCCCAGGTAGGGGAAAGGGACTAGTGACTACAGCTTCCTTGAGAGCTGGTAGGATGGTCCCCGACACGGGGACCGAAGACTGGGTGCGCAGGCCGGTTCAGCTATACGAACCGGCGGCCACCCAGGGGAGCACACGCCGCTTGTTCCCTTGCGGTTTTCACAACTAGTTAGCGAGGTGTGAACGTTCTAACCACATGTTCTAAATGGAGAATCGGGGTGATGAACCGGAGGGCCCCCGCGTGGCTGAAAATTAAAATGCATTATAGAGTGTAAAAATACAAGGAGAAACACATATTCAACAAGGGATAATCCTAACAATACACATTGGGGGCACAAAATACAAAACCAGACATCTGAATACTCAATGGGCATGGCATTTAGCGGCCGTGTACCGCCACAAACACAATCTAATGTAATCTGATACAAAGGAAAACCCTTTCAAAACTCCAATTAAAAAAAAAAAAAAAAAAAATCTATAAATACATATGCCAGGGTTCAACAAATCCCAGGTCGCCTAGGAATCTTTTTTTTTAATTTATTTTTTTCTGCCGCCTGGGATGTCAGCCCGAAGCAGCGAGCCAGTAGCCGGTGTTGTGGGAGAGCAGAGGTGGGCTGCCATACTAAACCGTGCATGCGACAGGATGCAGAGCAGGGAGAAGACAGCCCTACCAGACCTCAAGGAAATCCTATTAATTTTAGCTCTCCAAAAGTAGGGAGGCTGAGTGAATTTCAATTTATTTTTTAAATTACAACTTCTGAGTATGTGTGTCTGTTTAGGTGATCGGTCTCCCTCTTATTGCATGGGAAAGGTGATTTTATATTTACCCCCACAATCATGCTGTGATGGTTTAGCCATGGCTGGACCTGCCTGCATGTCTTGGATAATCATAATTATTTAAGCCAAGCAATGCACTAATCTGCATCTCTATGGGGAACATTCAGTGCCTCTATGTTAAGCATGGAGAAGCTGAACATAGGTGCTGCACACTGCGCAGCACTGGACTAGGAAGCACCTCTAGTGGCCGTTTGAGTGACGGCCACTAGAGGTGTTACCAGGCAGCAATGTAAACTGTCTTTTCTCTAATTAAGCTGCATTGGTTCTGGTGGCTATAGTGTCCCTTTTAAGAATTAGTATTTTAGAATTAGCAAGCAAGTTTGTCAAGCCCTGACTGTAATTTCACATATCCATATATGCATATATTGCGATTAAAGTACGTCAATTGTTACTAGATTCAAGACCTTTCTCACTAAACTAAACCATTTCAACTCGCAAAGAAAGCACTATTTAATCCATGTAACTCCCCTTTAAAGTCAAGAAAAAACACACTTTATGGCCAAATGTCAAGCAAAAAGAAAATTGGAGCAAATATAAAGTGTGTTTTGCCCTTTTATATTTAAATCTTAAATACACAGCTCTTCCATATTTAATAATGGAAAATTGAAACAACCATATTTTTATATGCCAGGTGTTTTACATTTGTAAGATTTTGTAATTCTTTACAATCTTACATGTAGGTCAACAAACCCTAAAATAGTTTCTGCCAAGACTTATGGTGTCACAGAATTTGGTAAAACACCCACGCAAAAAAAACCAACTTGTTTTCTATATTGGCTCTGATCTGCAGGGACATTTGGCTTCTGCTGAAGACCAGATGCTACATGAGCATATGGTAAGACCCAAGTGAGTTCTCAATCCATTTTAGCAGGTTTTGACACTTTACCATAGGTAGACATCAGGGCACTTCAGACAACATAATCACTACAGTCTTCTTTTAATTGCATTAGTCTATAACATCCCCTAAACTTATTAAAGTTGCTCTAGGGGAGATCTTCAAAGAGGTGTATAGTTAGCCCGTGATAACCGTACCATTCATCACTGAAGTATACTTTTCAAGCTCTTTGAGCCTCCCCCCCATCACCTGATAACTATTTCAAGTAAAGTTGTTTTTGTATGTTGCAGTGTGTGTGTGTGTGTGTGTGTGTGTGTGGTTGGAGCTCTGCCTGCTGAATATTGCCTGTAGTCTGCTAAAGATTACTACAAACATTAATTGTTGCCTACAGCACTGCCTCGTTTGCTTTGCTTAATTTTCACATTTATGAAATTATTTGCACATGTCGTTATCTACAGCCTTGGCAGAGACGAGAACATGGCTGTGATCTCCAATAGTGCAGCAAAGATTTTTAAGGTTATGGGATAAGTAGTATGATTGTCTGTTTTGAAATGTATTTATTAACATGGGACAGTCCCAGTCACAAGTACTTTTAAAACACAGTCCCAATATATCCTGATTGGCTTCCTGGTGTATCTAGCCAACCAGTATACAACTAGATTAATTATGAATTACTCTGTGCAATAAAATACACATCAAAATCTTCATGAATGATCCTTAACCCTTCTGGAAGTACTTTGGGATATGTAACTTGTCAAGATCTCCGTAGCATTGCAGATCCATCTGAGAGAATGCTAATGGTTATCAAGGCTCCTCCAGAAACACAGATGCAGGTTTCTGATCCAATTGAAGTAAGTGTTTTAGTGGATTTTTCAAACTGCTTCTTTAGTGGGGATGGTACAGCTCATGAGGCATTCTGAGTTGCTTTACCCATGTTAATGCTGCAGACTGGGCATAAGAATCTAAATATACCCAATAGACATACCACATGCCAAAAAATAAATTTCTTGCCAGATGATCTTTGATGGCCAAACTCTTCAGAATAACAAACAAATACCCTGTCATCTGTTACAATACTTGTGGCTTGTTAAAGAGACGCTATAGGCACCCATACAACTTTAGCTCCTTGAAGTGGTCTGGGTGCAGTGTCCCATCACACTTAACCATGAGCAAGTAATTATTGTAGTTTAAAAAACTGCAATAATTACCTGCTAGGGTTAACTCCTAGTCTAGTACCAGACAGCCACTAGTGGGACTATTGGGTCTTAGCTATGCATGAGGACTTTCAGCGTCACAGGAATCCCCATAGGAAAGCATTGAATAACACTTTCCTATAAGGAAATCCTAATACGAGTGCATTAGGTCTCCCCCACCGGCTGACCTGAGACAGCACTGAGGGTCATCACTGCTGGACCCAGGAAAGTGACAGGGGTTACAGAAAAGTGTTGTTTTGTTTGTTTTTGTTTTTTAGCACTATAGTTTCCTTTTAACTTTGTAACATCAGTATCAAGTAGAAAAGATCTAAAAAGAGCTGTTGGAGCATTATTCTAAGTGAATCATATGTTAAGCATATTTCTTTCTTTCAGGCACTTCAGATATCCTTAAAAAGCACCCGTGGCCCTATTGATGTATTTCTCTGTCCAGATGACAGCTCTGGGGTCTGCAGTCCAGTCAAGTCAAGTCCCACAAAAGCTGCTAGCCGTGAGCATTCTCCTCTTGCTCATGCTAGTGATGGGTCGCCTGACCTCAACACCACGCATGATATTGGCTTAGGACTACTCTCGTGTGAACAAGGTGAGCATATACAATCACCAGGAAAGTAAAGGAGAAACAAATGATCTCCTTCATTTTTCACCTCAACAAGCACATGTTCTAGCTTGAGACATCTCTCAGTACTGTAGTTTATTGACTGAGAATGCAGGCTTACAGCGTACTCCTTTTAGATTACGAGTAAGACAAGATGACTTCTAAGTTAAGCATTCCATATGCAGCCTGAAGGCTCTGTGTCTGACAGGTAAACACACATGCTTTTCCTTTGGTGGTCCTGATAAGCAGATATCAAACAGTCATATGTTGCTTCAGAGACTGCTCAATGGTGAAGTGGAAGTGTTGCTCAAAAAGCTCCATTCACAATGTTCTTACACTTTTAAAATTTTTTTTAAAGGGACACTAGTCACAAACTATACAGCTTTATGTAGTGGTTCGTCGGCAAAGAATCTGTCCCTGCAGTCTCAGCAGTGTAAAGTAACTTCAAGAGTTCAGTTTTGCAAGTCCCCCTAGTTCAGTGTCTCCATGCTTTCCATAGAAATGCATTGACTTGATGTATCTTGATGAAAAGATGCAGTTTGGCACAGCATGGTCATTTGCCTTGCATGTGCACTAGCGCCCCCCACTGCTTCAGTTTGGTTAAAAATTGGATTAGCTGAGATCCGGATTGATGATTTCAGCAGGGCAACTACGAGAAAGTATTTAGCTCTTAAAGGGGCGCTATAGGCATCAGAAACTGGACAGCTTAATGTAGTGGTTCTGGGGTAAAGAGCATGTCCCTGCAAGATTACAAGATAGCATTTACATTGCTGCTTAATGTCACCTTTAGTGAATGATACTTGGAGTGCCACTAGACTGACTTTCCAACAATTTTATAAAACTTCCCTGCATCACCTCCTCTTCTGTCAATCAGACTTTCATTGGCTCCACAAAGTTGGAAGTAGTGGTCACACTAGAGTAGAGTCCGTATGCCTTCCCTGCTTAATGGGTGTAATGGAGCTCCCTGTACTCCGACTGGGTACCTCCACCAAAAGACCGCTTCCTAGCTGGAACAGGGGACAAACCACAGCACTGCTGCCCACAGTTGCCGTGGCTTGACTGGGGCCTTGGAGCCGAATGGGGAATTGGCTCTAGTCCTTACAGAGACTTTCCCCGTTGAATCCCCTGCAAGCTGGAACAGCAGACAAGAGTAAATCTTCTTTCCCTCCAATAACAGGACGACCCACAGTTTTGAAGTGTAAGATGGAATAGCAAATTAATGGAGGCACACTGGCCTTTTATGCAAGTTTCCCAACAAGGGTGACACCCAGGTGGACCTAGTTGGGCACAGGGACACAAACTTCCAAACCAATAACACATTTACAATGTAAGGCACTCCCTCACAAGGCAAACAATGCCTGCATGGGAGATAATTGAGTTACTTACTGTATCAACTCCATTATCTCCAGGCAGGAAAAAAGTCCCAAAAGTACCCCAAAACACAACATATCCCAAAATCACCCAGATCAGAGCACGGGTTCAGGTATTTCCTGGAAGTCATAGTTCTGACCGACCGTGCAAAACGGTTCCAGGGAAATCAGTGCCAACAGCCGGTCAAGTTTGGTAGTCTTTTACAGGTTTCCCTGCAGGGCCCATAGTCTGTGGGCAGAAGGCTGGCAAGCAGGCTCCTCCAGGAGCTTGTGGCAAACTCACTTGGAGAGGGGAGTTTGTCACAATGAGCTTCAATGCTTTGGAAAGCCATGTGTTCTTACAGCTCCAATGAGAAGCCTCTGTTAAACACACTAGCGCAGATTTTCAGGGCTTGCAAAGGCTGCTAACAGCAAGTGATCTGTGGAGCCTCTTTTTGGTCAGGGAGGACCTCACCTACTGCTCTCATTTGTTGTGCAAGGTTTTGTTTGGTTTATGAATTCAAAACCTTACTGCCTATTGAGTTCCTTTTTAGTTTTTATGTAAAAGGAACTAATTTGTTCAGGAAGTTTTAAAGAGTAAGAAGAAATGGGCTGGGTTAAGTTACAGAAAATTTGCAGCCAAAGGTCACATGGTGGCTCTGAAAAAGTGATAAACTGCTACTGTTTAAAAAATAAAACATGAGTAATAACAGAAAATTCATCTGCACAATGGCAAGTTACATAGAGTATTTTTAATTGTTGTTCCCTTTTTTTGTGAAATGCAAAACTGTAACATTGCACAATTTTTGTTCTTCTAGAGTCTCTCCTATCTCCAGAAACGGACTTGCCCATGGGATACACTCCAGAGGGCCTTCACCTATCCCCTGTGTCTAATGCAACTCTCCTAACTGAAGCCAGGGATGTCCTACCAGACCTTCTAAATGATGAATTCATCAGCTTGTCTCCTCCAATGTCTCACGAGTACCACTTTGGCCTGGAGAACACAGAGGGTGTTAGTGATCTATTTGACTGTGACTTTGGCGATCTAACATCTTTCGATTTGTAAAGAGACCTGTGGCTTATTATTGTGTTGGCTGAGGAGATTCAGTACAAAAGATGATTCAATCTTTGTGATCTTTAAGACTCCCTGACTTTGTATTTGATTGCATTTGAAAGACAGTTGCAAAGAAGGTGTTAATATTTTTTTTTTATTAATCAAGCGCTTTTGTATCAAAATGAAAAGGCTCTTAACCCTGTGACAGCAATCCATATCCTAATAAAAGCACTTATGTGGAGCTATAGAAAGTGTGCGAGCAAAGAGTTGGTGAAGAACATCCTGGAGTATGGAGGACAATGGCATCCCAAAGCTTTAATTGTGGCCTATGGAAGTTTTTTTTTGTCTTTCACATTGTGCCCTTTAACCCCTTAAGGACACGTGACATGTCATGATTCCCTTTTATTCCAGAAGTTTGGTCCTTAAGGGGTTAAGTCATCAGTCTTCATATTTCTGCTTTGAAAAGCAGATGACTTAAAGTTCATTAAATGTATATTGCTTTTCACTGCCAAATCTAAAACCATTTTTACTGTCAAAACCATTTAATTTGAAATGGATTGGTGTATCGGCTTCATTAATACCATTGCCCTTGTGCCTTGCTCCTATTTTTCTTTTAATGGTACACTCAAGCCTATAATCGACTCCTTTTCTCCCCTATGGTGATAATGCAATAAAATGCAAATAATACATTGGAAAATATTGAAAGTACAAGATACTTGCTGCAGTGATATCTGCACAGAGAAAAAGAAATGGGACTTTTTTTTTTTTTTCATTCAATACTGGTTTCCCCAATTGTTTTCAAAGGTATCACTGTATATATTCCACAAGCCCTGTGCAGTATGGGATTATGGGAGATGTAGTACTGCCTTCAGCTTTCAGATGAATGTTGGTTGATTCAGCACAAGGCAAATGGTTGCAAATTGTTTAATGAATGGAAAATCTGAACAGAGCTACTTGTTTAAGAGTAGTTCTATACATAGTTTTCATGCATGAAACTGCTTGCATCCTGATCTGCCTGGATGCTCTACAAATCTCAAGCTCCACTAGATCAGTACAACTATTACATTTTATGGATAATGTATAGCTGTATTTTTGTCTTGACATTGTCTGTTGGGCATTGGGGTTGACCGGATGGCTGAGGTTAAACTGCAAGTGGTTACTAAAATAGATGGGGGGTTTTTTGTGTGCAAAATATGACATCAACATGCAAAAAAACATTTTCTCTCGCTTTTTCCCCTCTGTAATGCTCAGTTAGATGTATTCCTTCAGTTTAACTGCCTGCTGTGTCACCTTAAAGGTTGAAATACCATAACTACTGTAATGGCTATGGTGCCAAGAGTCTCTGGTGCACCCCAATTGCCTAACGTCTAGCAGATGTGCCTGCCAGGCTTGGCACAGAACTGAGAGCTTCCAGCTGCATTGGAGGCAGAGCGTGTTGCTCTGAGGACCCTAGACACGTCAAGCCGTTTAAAAAAAAAAAAAAAAAAAGTTCTATTACTTACATGAGGTAAAGGTGTGCCAGGGCACTCCCTTACACCATAACCATTAGAGGGATGTAGTGGTTATGGTACTTGGTGTCTTATTTAAAGTGGCTTTGTCCACTACAAATGTGCAGATTACTGCCCATTTTAGGTTTACTTATCCAAATTTCAGGCAAGTTCAAAATTTATTTTTTTATTTGTGTGTGCTCCCATAATTCCAGTCATGTAGAAGAGTGATAGGAATTTTGAGAACATGCAGATACACGTCAATTCACTGCTGTCTTCATACTTGTTCATATCTTTTATGCAGACAACAAGTAGAATCTTTAAAAAGCTTAAAGCAATAAACAATCTATATATATATTGTCTAGCACAAATTGTAAATGAAACTAAAGCACTGGGTGTCACCATTTTCATGTTTACGTGACTGGTGCACTCTTAAATACTTTCCTGCAGAAACAGTTTGCAGGAAAGCAACTGCCCTCCATCCTTTTAGGTCAGGGTTAGGCAACCACTTACATTCCATTTTGACTGGCAGAGCTTTATGGGGGTTGTAGTCCATGGAATCTGCAATGGTTGCCTTTCCCTGCTTTAGGTCATGATTTGTATGTATATTTATACTATAACATACCTAGAAATATAGTATTTATAAATGAGTAAATATTTCTGTCTGGTATTCCCTGTGATATAGAATGAATCTCATGTTCACTGTTTGCAAATGTAGGGCAGGCCGGATCAATGTGTTAGCAAATGATTTAAGCTTAATTTATCTGGATGTGTGGTTTGTATGTGTATTTGTTTTCAATAAAGATATTTTCCAGCTTAAATATCAGACTTTAATGTGGGGACTGTATCACCCAGAGCTGCAATTTGAGTGCACCATCCAAAGCTTGACCATGATGTTGCTGTATGTTGAGCAAGATTCTGTATTGTTACCTGCAAGCATACTAGCCAAAAGAACTGGTTTTGATGTCACCAACTATATGGTGCAATACTGAATTAGGCTATTGATGCTCAGACTGAAGGCCTTGTGGCAAGAGAAGTGTTTCAGGATATGGAACTGCTTCATCCTTGTATATAATGACAACTCACGCTGCCATTTAACTGGCTCTACAATTCATTACTTCTCCTCTTCCTCCTCTCTTCTTTGTGCGTAAGCTGTTTTTAACATAGTTTTGTGTATGATTTTGTTTTGTTCAAAAGCAAATGCAGTAAGGATCGATGGGCAAATAAATAAAACACTCCACTAAACTGTAGTGGTTATTGTGCCAGGAGTGTCCTAGTATGCTCCCAGGGTAAATTGTCAAACTATCTAGGAATGGTTTCACAACTTACCTGGGGTCTGCCATGTACTGTTAACAGCCTCTTGTAGAGTCAGATCTCCTACCAGGAGCTTCTGTTAGCACCACGGAGCTAAGCCCTGTAACGAAGGACTGGCTCATTGGCTGAGTACTCTCAGCCAATGAGCTTGGTCCTGTAGTGCTGGGGTTAATTCTGTTCAGAGAACATCCAGCTGCCCGGGAGAATGTGACAGGATCCAGCGGACCCCAGATAAGGTGTCAAACTGTATGCAAACTACTCCTGGCATTATATCCAAAACCGCGTACCATTTGGTAGAATAGGGCTACAGAAATGTATAGCTTAAATCGGTCAACCAAATTGCTGCAAGTGGCAGTTCTAGCAGAGTAACCTAAGGTACAGATGTACATGCATGATAGAAAAATTACAAATTTCCCCAGTTCTCAATCTACTATCTGGTATCTTGCCAAGCATAACACTGTAAACTGAAACAGCATATCTGCATTTGTCCGTTTCAGAATATGGAATATATAGAAATTACAGAGGCATGGGTAGGCACTTTCAGCACTCCACATGTTGTGGTCAACATCTCTCATAATGCTAGCAACACAGCAATGCTAAATTTGATAGATGCAAGTAAAGATTAACTGCTTATGTGCCATTTTGCTTTATCTAATACAGCAATATTAAGTTATTAAAAATAAAATCTAGAAACTAAGATATGCAACCATTAATCAACATACAATATTAGGTGTATAAACCAATTATTAAAGCCAAAAATGTTTTTACATGTCAGTATATACTTTATGTACATAAATATAGTATATTTTTAGGAGGGAGATACTTCCTTGGAGTCTTCTTTTTGCAAAACTTCATTACAAAACAAAAAAAAACAAACGTATGCAATATCTGCTTATGTAAAACCAAAATTAAATAGTGTAAATAAACCAATAATTATAAGAGCTCTATAATATTGATGCCACTCCCAAAATCACAGTAGTAAATGGTGCATAAGTACTGCAGTGAATAGATAAACAATTTTTTTTTTTTTCCTTCCTTGCCCCTCCTCACCTCCCATAATATAAGCAAGTATCGTCTGGCTCTTAAAGCCATATTAAAGAAGAAAAATATTTAAAATTTGTAAAGTTTTGCTCTGGCGTTAGAACGTCTTCAAAGGCTAAAGCAGGATGGCTCACAGATTAAAAATCTAGAAAATGTGCCATAACAGTTAGAAATAAATAAAATGAGTCCAAACAGATGAAAATTATTCCAATTGCCCATTAAAACCAAAACTATGAATTTGACAAATTCTCTGTTGTGCTTTTAATTGTTATATTTTGTTTCCTAAATATTGAAATTTACTTTGAATTCTCAACAATTCACACTTTATTGAATATCCAAAGCTAGAGTTTATAGATCTTTTATTATCCTATACTCATTAAAGTAACCTTAAATTAAAAATAAATAAATGATTCTATGTGGAAAGAAAGTTTGCTCAAACAATTTCTAACTTGGAAAACTTAATTTAACATGGACAAATTAATGCTATTGTTAGAGATAAACTATATACTTAAATTTATTCCTATGCTGACTGCTTAAATAACTACATAGGAAACTACTTCCAGAAAAATAATTACTAGAACAATATTTATATTAAAATTAAACATTAAACCGTGTTTTAGTTTTCATCCTTTTCAAAGCACAGTACTTTATAATGACATACTAATGCAAATATTAAAATGTAAGACCTGTAGTATTATAATTCCACCACAAGATGGCAGAGTAATTACATGAAAGCCATACTATATGCTTCCCAGCAGTAAAACAAATGAAGTGATTTGATTCCTAAAAAGAAAATCATTAGATAAGCGATGAAACCTCCCAAGGCAAGGGAAGAACACAAAGAGCATCTGTATTTTGATTTATTTCTACAAGTCTTAATCACTTGCTTAAGGTAAAAGTACATTTAGTAAGCGTTTAGCTTTTGCTAGTCTGCTGTATTCTCAGTCCACTTCCAGTACCTCCTCTTAATAAAAAGTTGCATGTTGAGCAGATGATTAAAGAACAACACATGCTTCATACTTGCCACACGTGCAATTTAACATAATTTTGATTTAAAAAAAGAAATTGAAAAACTTTAGGAACTGGAGCCACTTATCATTATTACCTAGTATAGCTCTTTGCAACTATGATGCTGCATTTAAACCATCACGTTTCAAGTGGAACATGCAATAATTTACAAAGTTATTCTGTGGCATGGACTATTAGGCAAACCAAGCCAATGCCCAGTGGTCAGTTGTTTATGTACTGGCTGGCTCTAGTTTCCTCTTATCCTTGGTCCCACTATGTGATGTGACAGTGGTTGAAGACAGTATATTAGGGAATTACGGGTAGGAAATCATAGGTAATATTCGATGACAAAGTTCTTCCGTTACACACAGACAGGAAACATCGTACCTATTCTTTCCATCTCAGTCATTGCTTTTTTTGCTAGCCCTGCTAAGTCCTTGTCTTTGTATGCTTTGGTGTTTGTAACCAGCTTGGATGCTAGGGCTGCCATTTCCTTATGTATGCAGCCACCAAAGTCTGTGCCAACAAGCCTCCTAATAATTACAACCAATAATGTTTAATGGGTTGGTGGACACATCCAGTTGCCTGCTCTAAAATAGTCAGATTGACCCAACACTTGGGTGAATAATCCAAGTACCATCCTAGCAAAATAGGGAATACAGGCTGGATACTTATTACTGATCCTTACAGTGGTTAAGCATAACTTACAGACTATAAAGAGGTAAAATAGCAGACCTGCAAGCAGATAGGGTAGTCAGAATAGGCAGTGGTCAAGGGAGTATAGAAATCCAGAATTGAGAAGCAAAGCCAAGCAATGAGTGGCAGTAAACAGAAGGCATGAGGACAATGTGTTTAAAAAACAAAACAAAACTATACTGATAATATAGACTCACTCTTGGGAATACTAAGAACCCACAATAAGGCAAAGATACGAGCTTCTGAAAGGGTTAGATAGGTACAGATAAGTCAGGATCGATAACCAACATTCCAGAAAATGCATGTGTTGGCCCACAGATGACACTATAGCTGGTCAACCCCACAGTTAAGGCCAATGGGCACTTGACTATATGGTAATTTTGAGGTCATAAATGCAGAATTCTTGTTGTTAGTAGATGCGTATTGTGACATCATTATGGATTCAGGCCTTGAAGCTGACATGCTGCTTGTGAAGTCAGCGTTACATGTTGGCAGTGTTACAAGAACATGAAAATGGGCAGACATAAAGGATGAATGGACATACTCATGGGTCTTGCTCTCGGGAGTTAAGAGTCTCTCTAGGTGGGACTTGAAGTATAAAAGAGGTGAAGGGATATTATAAAGACACATGATGAATGATGGGTACTAGGTACAGAATTGAGATGAAGTGCCAAGTACAGAGATTTGTAGTCAACAGTAATCAAAAAATGAACTGTTATGACTATAGGCTTTTTCACTAATAAGAAATAACAACTGTGCTCTCTAGGCAGTCATGGCTGTTTTTTCTAAGATCTTTTATCAAAGACTAAAACAACAATCTCTCAATATTCTTCGAATAAAAATTGTATTTTCCCCTCCCTGAACCATGAATAGATGAAGACAATAAGTTAAATAAATTGATACAGTAACGCAAACACTAGTAGTGATTAAAGCTCCGAAGGATCTTTTCAAGGTTGTTCACAATTGGTAATTCTTCAGAGAACAGAGAAAAAAAAAATCAAACAAGAAGCTCAATAACAAGGAATATATTATCTTTTGTCAAGGAAACAGCTTAATGATAGCTGCGTCCTCAGTCCTCTTGATGCTGCACATCCAGGCCCTGAATCAAGTATTCATCCATAGAGAGTATTAATAGATTTTGTCCTCTACTTTCAGAGAACATGCGTACTCTATCAATAAACAGTGGTATGACGCCAAATATCCACCCCTCACCTTTTTGAAATGAATAAAGGAGTTCACAAAATGTATTATTAATGATCATTGAATAAATATACACTATAGTGTTATTTTTTTATCTGCAAAGGAACACAATATACCCATCTTTTTTTTTTTTTGCAGTAAAATAGCAAGGGCTTTTAGATTATATGGCCTCCTTTAATAAAAAATAAACTAGTAAAATAACTCTTTACTTACCTGGTATGCAGTTCTGAGAGAGAATCTTCTGAGTAGCCTAATCCGCCTCTCTGATGTTATCAGATTTGCTATTTTGTCCAAATAAATTGTTTCTTACAGAGAAGCATTGAATCCAATGCTTCTACGTGAGAAGCATTCATTGAACATTTGATATCCTCATGCAATGCATAAGGATGTGGAACTATAGGAACCGAGTATAACTGAATTCTCACAGGGGATACACTGTCTAGTGGCTGTCAGTTTAACAGCCAGTAATTATATGTTTAGCACTGGAATGTAAACATTGTGTATTTCCAAAAAAACAACATGACCATTTCACCTAGACCGCTTCATTACCATAAGGTGGTCTGGGTGTTTACAGCGGCCCTTTAAAGGAAACATCAAAAGCTTTGTGATTATTACATACAGAAAAGAGAAATTTAACACCTCAGTCCCAATAACAATTTCATCTCAGTGAAGTCATAATGGAGTCTAGAGGTGCTGGGCACCATTCTACCTTATGGATTTAAGCTGCTCAGCTCTGCCCCTTAGTTTTCTTCTCCTACAGCCATGGCACAAGTAATGAACATTTGTACTTGGGTAACGAAAGGTGAAGCGCTACATACAAATTGAAGTCCAATTCTTATAACCGTCGTTCTTGTCGATCAATATTTTTCTGAATGGTATATAGATCTTACTATATTACTGAGCTTACGACCAAGCTCAGGGATATATGCCTTCAGGTCTGTAAAGGCGACCTTTCTCCTTCTTTTATCCAAGTGACAAATTCCCCGTTGCAGCTAGGGCTCAAGCAGAGATATATATGTGGCAATATAGTTTCAAATCCGTATATAGTGTAGGAAAATGTATATATTATACTCACAAATCTGGAGCCACTCTCTTAGGCTCTTTTCCAACACGTTGTGTAGTTGAGGACTACACACCTAATAGCAGGAACCAATATCCCAGTATAGATAACACAAATTATTATTGTATAAAAAATTCTAATGGCCAATTAGAATCTATTAAAACAAAAGAAGAAGAATGGTATAATATGTTGGAAGGTTTCTCCTTCATCACCATGCAACTTATTATAAAAAGAAGGAGAGATAATCTTAAGGAGTTAGACGTGGAGATAAACAAATGTCAAGATGAGATTCTAAATGCTCTAAATCAGGAAGAATTTGATTGTATAACACAAGAGATTAAAGAAAATTTAGACAAAGTAGAGAGAGGAGTAGTAGAAATAAAGAGAAATAAATATTTGAGGGATACAAGAGATTACAAGAATAAACAAGTAAGATCCTTTTCTAAATACCAAGGACAATCTAGAGATGAACATTTTGGAGAGGTAGATAGACATAACAATGTGAGAAAAACTTTACCCCAATATATTAAACATGAACCTAGATATAAGAAAAATTCTATATCCCAAAGGACCTACAGAGAAGTTCTGGAGAAAAAACAGATGGATAGGAAAGTGGAAAATAAATTTGAGAAGAAAGAATGGAGAAATAATTATGAATATAAACCTTACTACAGATCGCGGAGAGTTAGTTTCAGAGATCAGTGGAGTGATAGAAATGAAGTAAGAAGAAACTACAGACCACAGGGAGAGAGAGAAAGAAAAAATTCCACATATGAGTCTCCCTATCACACTAGAAATACATATAGGAGAGAGAGAGAAAGATATCAGCCTTTAACTCGAGATAAAGAAAGATATCAATTTCCAACTCAGGAACCCCTGAGGGTACACAATCAGTATCAAGTTTTAGAAGGCAGGGAAGGAGAACAGGATTTTTGGAGGAGTCGGATTATAGAAAGACACAAGGAAGATCAAAGGAAAGACTTTCCTCCAAATCTCAAGAGAAGGCGATATTCATTCCAAGAGGAAAAAGAGGAGGAAAATCAGTTAAAAAAAGACAAGAGAGAAAGGAAAGAAAAAGATTAGAAGATAGTGAACTTAATGGGGATCCTAGTAAGTTAGGAATATATAATTTAAGTGGAACGGAAATAACTAAAGAACAGGTTAAGATCCTGAAAAAAGGGTTAAAATTTGCCCCGAGTAAACACATTAATCCCTTCGATCTATATGTAGATTTAAATAGATTCAAAAGGAACCTTTGTCTTAAGAAATATTTTTTAAAAAATCCAATGGAAAGACAAATACATATGGAAGATGAATTCAAACATACGAATCTCAAAAAGAAATCTAACTTCTTTCCTAAACAGATGATCAGTGATAAAATGATTACATTCGAGACTATGGTCTTGAATGAATGTAAGAAATTAGATCTCAAAGAGAATTTTCAAGATAATTTAAATATACAGGAAAGAAAAGCCCTGAGAGAGCTAAAGAATAGAGAGGATTTAGTTATAAAGCCAGCAGACAAGTGGGGGGTATAGTCATTATGACTAAAGATTCGTATAATGAAGAAGCAATAAGGATTTTGACAGAGGGAGTGACCTACAAAAAATTGACAGCTAACCCTAGCCTGGGGATTCAGGAGAAATTTAACAACTATTTGAAAAAGGGATTAGATGTAGGAATATTGAGTCAAAAAGAATTTGACTTCATTAATATTTTACACCCAAAGGTCCCTGTTTTTTATTTTCTGCCTAAAATACATAAGAGTATTACTAATCCTCCAGGCAGACCGATAGTGGCCGGGATAGATGCCATATCTAGCAGATTGTCACACTATATTGATTTACAACTTCAACCTTTTGTACAAAATACGAAATCATATATAAAAGATACTATAGCAGTATTAAATATTTTGAATAACTGCGTATGGGAGGAAAATTTTTTGCTAGTAACATGTGATGTTGCGTCATTATACAGCAACATACCACATGAGTATGGATGTAGAGCAGTAGCCCACTTTTTAAGAAATAATTCTGATTTTTTGGAGACTCAAATAGAGTATATTCTAGAGGGCATTAGATTAATCCTGGAAAATAATTATTTTTGGTATGGAGGAGAATTTTTTCTACAAATGAATGGAACGGCCATGGGGACTAAGTTCGCCCCCAGTTATGCCAACTTGTTCATGTCATATTGGGAAGAGCATTTTATATATGAAGGACATGGATGGGGGGCGAACTTGGTCACCTATGGTCGTTATATAGACGATATCTTCTTCATTTGGAAAGGAGGAGTTCCACTTTTAAGGGAGTTTTTAGCCTTTTTAAATTTGAATACATGGGGGATAAGCCTTACCAGTATTTGGAGTGATAGAGAAATATCTTTTTTAGATTTAACTATTTTTATAGAAGAAGGAAAAATTAAAACAAAAAATTATTTTAAGGCAGTAGATGCCAATAGTTTTATTGAAAAGGCAAGTTGTCATTTTACTCCATGGTTGGAGAATGCCCCTAGAGGGCAATTTCTACGTATTAGGAGAAACTGTACAGATCTGGAGAATTACAATAATCAATCGATGAAGATTAAACAAGATTTTTAAAAAAAGGGATATGAGGATAGTAAATTAGAAGAAGCTAGGATACAGGTCAAAGAGACAGAACGTAGTGAGCTCTTAAGATATAAGAATCGAACACAACAAACTATGGAAGGAGTACCTTTTATTTGTAATTATAGTACTGAGAATTTTAAAATTAGGAATGTTATAAAAAGATTCTGGCCGATTTTACGCCAGGACCCAATATTAGAAGATATTTTACCATCTCAACCACGGTTCATCCATAGAGGAGTAAGGAATCTACGTAGCATGCTTACATCTAGTTTTATTAGGGAGAAGAAAAATAAAGACACGTTTTTCCAGCAAGAAAAAGGTTTTTTTGGTTGTGGATATTGTCTGGCGTGTAAAAGAACAGGAAATAAAAAAAGGAAAATTACGCACTTTATGAGTAAAGATAAGAAAGAATACGAAATTAGAGATGCAATTACATGTCACACAAACAATGTGATTTATGTAATGCAGTGCCCCTGTGGATTAAATTATGTGGGTAAAACCACTAGGCCACTCCATGTAAGAATTGAGGAACACAGCAGAAATATAATGAAGGGAGGAGAGAATCACAGTGTACCCCTCCATTACAAAATACACCATGACCAATCACCGTTAGGTAGCCTATTTTTAGGTTTAGGTAGAGTGGAAAAAGATTGGAGAGGGGGAGATTTTAACCAGAAATTAAGTAAGGAAGAGATGAAATGGATTTTTGAACTGAATACCCTTATCCCCTATGGTTTGAATTCGGAATTTGAAATTTGTCATTTTTTAAATTAATCAAGCTCTTACTATTATTGTTATAATAGTCCACGAATAATATAAGTCTATCACAGAATATATGGATTAGAGGTGGGAATTAATAAAATATTTAAATTAATATCATTTATACATTTCTTCTGTATAGGTAGTTTTTGAGAATCAAACATGGTTTTTAATAACATACCACCCTACATCAATTATATATGTCACAACATGAGACATACATTTTCTATTATATTATAATTGTTATCATTTTTTTTTTTTTTTAAATATTATGAAAATTATTAACTTGGTATGTACAGTATTCCATTTGAGAGATTGTTTTTATTTAGTTTTTATTGTGATTTTAGGTTTATATTTATTTACTTTTATGTGTATTAGTGCTATCACTATTTCTGGTTATAATACTGGATGCAGATTAGTGCGAAGGGGATTTTTATGTATATGTATTTTTTATAAGGGCTACTTTCTTCGCTATATTTCTATAACTTAGTTTTGGATACATATAACATTTTTATAAGGCAGCCATTTGATGAGAAATACAAGTGATGTCCTTGTAAGAGATGGAAACTTTGTTATGGACATGAACTGTACTTGGTACGAGAGACCCAATACGGAGGAATTGCAGTGTGACGTCATATGCGGAAGTGAACCGCAATGAGAGAGAGGCTTGGAACGCACACAGTGTCGGCTAGCCGGAAGAAAGAATACCAGCGCGCCAAAAACGACAGCTGAACGCCGAGCCCAAAAGTTACAGACAAGATATAATAGCAGGACTTCTGTAAGTAGGAGAATTTGATTTTTTCACCCAGCTGAGGAAGCCAACAGTAGTTTGGCGAAACGCGTCCTGGGGATTGTATTACATTGCCTTTATGCCCAGATTTTAATATTATTGTGTATTTATTATCTATACATTTTGTTTTAATAGATTCTAATTGGCCATTAGAATTTTTTATACAATAATAATTTGTGTTATCTATACTGGGATATTGGTTCCTGCTATTAGGTGTGTAGTCCTCAACTACACAACGTGTTGGAAAAGAGCCTAAGAGAGTGGCTCCAGATTTGTGAGTATAATATATACATTTTCCTACACTATATACGGATTTGAAACTATATTGCACCATATATATCTCTGCTTGAGCCCTAGCTGCAACGGGGAATTTGTCACTTGGATAAAAGAAGGAGAAAGGTTGCCTTTACAGACCTGAAGGCATATATCCCTGAGCTTGGTCGTAAGCTCAGTAATATAGTAAGATCTATATACCATTCAGAAAAATATTGATCGACAAGAACGACGGTTATAAGAATTGGACTTCAATTTGTATGTAGCGCTTCACCTTTCGTTATTTTTGTTTTGTGGTTGGTGTATATGGAAAGATTACACATGGTGATATAGCAGCTTACATTATTGTTATATATATATATATATATATATATATATATATTATACATTGTGGAATTGTTTAATTTTAGAGCGCCAGTATATTATTATTTTGTATTTGTACTTGGGTGCTGGTGAAAGTTTAGAAGCATCAGATGATATTCAGCCTATCAACGACTGCCTATTGGGAGAAATGCTTTACATACGTGCATTTCTAAAGAATTCCTCTCAATGAGCGGCCAGGGGAGTGGGCAATGTTTTTAACCCCTATGCTGTTCTTCTGTGCCTGTCTCATATCCACTGGGCGCCTGAGTAGAGGTGCACTGTGAGATCAGCAGTCCAGAATCATGCCAGTAGGCGGGCAATTTGCAGGTCCCTGACAGTGGGTTGTTGGTTGTGAGTAGCTATGCACTGTTAGGTCATTACAGAATCCTGATACTCGGTGCCTGCCTGGGCAGGTGTCATTGTCAAGTCAACATTCTATGATATCAGTGTTACAGAAAGTCAGGATAGCCCCCAACGTTTATCAAGGGAGCATTCTGTGAAACCCAAATAAACCCCTTTATATACCCAATATTAAAAACATTAAATATATTAAATTAAACATTAAATAATAAGCACCTGAGTTAAATGGGTGGCCACCCATATTGATTAGGATCCTCCCAACCATAATCACAATGCTATGGTCACCAAGGATACCAATAAACAGGAAGTATGGATACAATTATGGTAAATATTTGTATATCAAATATACCCCAATTTCAAAACACAGGTGTTTTATGTTGAATGTTTTTAATATTGGGTATATAAAGGTTTATTTAGGTTTCACAGAAACAGAATGCTCCCTTGATAAAGGCAATTTTGCAGAAACATTGGGGAGGCTATCCTGACTTTCTCCCTCTTCTCACTATTTCTGTTATTCTCCTGCTTTCTGGTATGCATTTTTAAGTTGGGTTGTTTTCTTTTGAGGTATCATTGTGATTCTATACTACGAATAGCATTGATGTATTTTTTTGCTGGTTTCATGAATACATGTTACTAATGTATATACGATGTTTGCTTTGTATTTAATATTATTTTTTATATTACTGCCAATGTTTTTGGTATGATCTTTAGGCTACCTGACATATTGGACCCAATTAATAAAGTGATCTTTTTTTCTTTATGGTTATGCTCCTGATTCAGTTTTTAATGTAAACCGAGAAAAGGCAGTGTTTACATTACTGCCTAGTAACACCTCTAGCCAGGGCCGTCTTTAATACTGATTGGACCCTGGGCAGGTATTTAATTGGGGCCCCTTGACTTAGTCCTTCCCCTCCCTAGCATGCAATCACG